TTTGTTTGAGAATGTTTTACGGAAAAGTGTCAGAAAGAATTAACCTTACCCAAACTGCACAATTTCAGCAGGTGTGTTCTGATCTCCCATCTTAATTCTAGAGACTATTATAATAATTCTAGAAATCTATTTTTTAAATAAATTCTGATAGTGAAAATGGGCATTGGCCACTGCCCACTGAAATGGGCCACACAAATATCATTGTTAGGCTTGATTTTCAATTCAAGATTACTTTAATTCAAGGCTGTCTGTGGAACAGAACAAAAAGTTCCAAGTCAAGCTAAGCAGAACAACAAAATCTAAACCAGCTTTTATAATATGATCTTGAGTGTGCACCTACCATTTTCAAGAACATTAAAAATTGCTTTGAAGTCCTGAACTTGGTTGATAGGCAAAGAAAAACAATGGAATAAAAGAAGCTGGTAAGGATGAATATGAAAAGCAACTGCCAAAGACCAAGAAGCAAAAAGAACAAGCTAGATGAAAGAACAATTGTGGAAATGGCCAAGATTAAGAGAGAAACCAAAGCCAAAGAAAATCAAAGATCTTGGGAAAGAACTTCACAAAAAATATTAGAAAGCTGTTAGAAGAAAAAAGGAAACAGTATTATAATGAAGTCTTTAAGCATCCCGAAGATGGAAACAGACACATAAAATAAGGGAAATCTAAAGGATTTCTGAATTCACGAAGATCTAACTTCATACTCAGATTGGTATGGTAAAGGAAGCTTTGTTGTTGGCATGTACACTGAGAGCTTATGCACCAGAAACAAATTCCTTGTGTGTCCAATCATACTTGGCCAATAAAGAACTATTCTATTCTATTCTATTCTATTCTATTCTATTCTATTCTATTCTATTCTATTCTATTCTATTCTATTCTATTCTATTCTATTCTATTCTATTCTATTATTACATTCCATTCCATCCCATTCCATTCCATCCCATCCCATCATAGGTTTGGAAGGGAATCCTCATATTGTTATGGACAAATGACTGTCGTGTGTGTGTGTGTGTGTGTGTGTGTGTGTGTGTGTGTGTGTGAGTGAAACCTCCAGTGATGAAAACCTCAGCTACAGGAAGAGGCCGTTCCATGGCTTAATAGTTCTCACACTTAGGAAATCCTGCTTTAGTTCAAGTTTGGCTCCCTCACTATACAGCTTTCCCTGCTCTTGTCTTACCCTCAGGTGCTAGAGAGAATAAATCCACATTCTCTGCCCTGTGACATCCCTTTGTGTATTGAAAGGCTGCTATCATGTTTCCCTTTTCTCTTTTCTTCTTTAAGCTAAACATACCATGTTTCTTTAACCTTTCTTTGTAGACTTTAGCCCTCAAGTCCCACACCATCTTTATTATTCTTCTCTGCAGTCTTTCTGGTTTCCTCAGGATTCTTTTTTATTGTAGTGAGCAGATCTTAGATGTATACTCTCCCCTTATTTATTCAAACTACATGTGAAACATATATGGAGGGAAGCAAGACTAGGTTCAAAACTGGAGGAAGAAACTCAATAACCTGATCATACTATTCTAGAAAGCTGAAAATGCCAATGAGCTGGAAAAATGAAACAATGAAACTAACTCTAGGCCCTGTTAAAAAAATGATATTCAGTGATGGGAAAAGTAAGATTTTACACTTAGGCAAGAAAAATCACATGCACAGGTATAGAATAGGTGGTACCTGGCTCAACAGCAATAACTGTGAGAGGAATCTAGGAGTCCTACTGGACAACCACAAGTATTAGCCAGCAATGTGCTGCAACCACCAAAACTCTCAATATAGTTCTAGACCGCAACTACAGAGGGATAATATCAAAATAATGTGAAGTATCAATAATGCTTTAACTGCACTGGTAGGATCACACTCGGAATACTGCGTCAGTTTGGATCACCATGATACAAAAAAGATGTTGAGACTCTAGAAAGAGTGCAACAAAGATAATTAGAGGACTGGGGGCTAAAACATATGATGAACGGTTGCAAGAACTGAGTATGTGTAGTCTAATCAAGAGAAGGACTGTGGATGACTTGATATCAGTCTTCCAATATTTGAGGGGCTATCACAGAGAAGAGGGAATACACCTATTTTCCAAAGCACCTAAGGGCAGGACATGAAATATCAGATAGAAACCCTATCGAAGAGAAATCCAACTTAGAACTAAGGAGAAATTTCCTGACAGTGAGAACAATTGCCTCCAGAAGTTGTGGGTGCTCCATCACTTGAGGTTTTTAAGAAGAGATTGGACCGACATTTGTCCAGAATGGTATAAGGTCTCCTGCTTGAGCAGGAAGTTGAACTAGAAGACCTCCAAGGTCCCTTCCAACTTCATTATATTGTTATTGTTAATTATAAGAGAAAAAAAATAGTTTAGCTGACAGCTAGTCGAGATTAAATATAGAGATCAAACTAAACATAGCAGGTGCGGCAACCAACCTTAGAACTAACAGTGAAGATATCGTAGTGGTGAATAGTTTCTGCCTTTTACAATTGACTATCAGAAGTAAAGGAACCAGGAACCAAGAAATATACCACAGACTAGCACGTGGCAGAGTAGCAATTAGGATCTTGGAAAAAGCATTCAGATGCTATCAAGTTTCTCTCTAAATTTGAAAACTGTGTAGACCAGGGGTGTCAAACTCTCAATGTCACATGACATGTCGCGATGTATTGTGACTTTTTTCCCATTGCCAGCAATGGGGTGGGTGCAGTTTCGCCATGACGCATTGGGCCCACGGGTTGGCAGTTTGACACCCCTGGTGTAGACAATGATTTCCTTCTGACATTCTATGAAGGCGAAAATTAGATTCTGAAAAAGCAGAATAGAAAGCATATTAATTCTTTTGCTGTGTGAAGTTACTGAAGGTTCTTGAGAATACCAGAAAGAGCCAAGGAAATAAACTGATCACCAAATAAACCCAGAATTCTCACTTAAAGCTCACATGATCTGGCTCAAATTATCCTACTTTGAACACATTATATGAAGACTTAGCTCTCTGGTATGATGCTCTGATGCTGGGAAAGGTGGAAGGGAAGATAAAAGGATGACCAGCACCAGGATGAATAGATTCAGTTACGGTAATGATTGGCACACCATTAGAAAACCTGAAGTCCTGGGTTGGTGGCAGATCATCTTGGAGAAAATTGATGTGATTATAAAGGATTGGTACTGACTTAATTGCACTTTGTCAATCAATTCTATTCTTAAATGTTGAATGAATACTTGTAAATCTGAGATGAAGTCCAGTGAATGAAGTAAATGAGAACATTGTCTCTAAAAATACGAAGTGAAGAATAAAAATTGTGGTTTCCATTTGTAAGGTGGAGTCCAATATATAGATGTTCATGTCTTGTTGAACTTTTGTATGCACTCTTATTAGTGAAGTTGTAGGGTGAGCATATAGTAGAGGCATTGCTTTTTATAGAGACAAGGTTTCCTCCAGGGAACTGGCAAAGCCAATGTCTAGTTGTGAACTTTCCAAAATTTATGTTGGTTTCTGCTGCACAGATTACTCTTATGAACTGAGGGAGAAAAACCCCAAACAAAACAGACAGCCAGGTCGGTGTAATGGTGAAAGCACCATGCTAGAAATTGAGTTCTAGTCCCACCTTAGCCAGCTGGGTGACTTTCGATCAGTCATTTGTTCTCAGCCCAACCACCACACAAGCTGTTGTGGGGAAATTAGGAGGCAAAAGTAATAGGTATGTTAGCTTCTTTGAATTATTTATAAAAATAATAAAGATGGGATGTAAATAAAATGAACAAACCCAAACATTGTAAATACCTACCCTATTATTCCATCTTTGGTTAATAATACATACATTATGTCTACTCAGAATGAAAGCCAGTTAAACTTTCTTTTCTTTTTATGACCCTGTAATCCTTTAATTTGGGTAAGAGTAAGGGCAACTGAATCGAGCTGAGTATTTACTGGCCAGATGCCCTTCCTGACACCTACATGGAGTTCGCAGCAAATTATTTTCTCTTTGGGCCCTGAGAGAGAGAAACATCCACCACTGCCTAGGATTGAACTCTCAGCCTTCTCAGTTGGAGGCAAGCACCTTCATTACTAGACCATCATGCTGCTCTTCCAATTAAACTTACATTATTCTAAGTTATTTCCAAATTAAGTGTACATAAGATAGCATCCAGAGAGAACAATACTAGAGACACTGGAGAATGTATGTAGAACAGACACCACCACTTTCAAAGCCAATATAGTTGTGTGATCACAGGGGGCTTTGGGGGCTTTTGCCAATTTACTTTTTTATATAACTGTCTTTTAACTGTGTGTTTATGTACTCACATACATAAATAAATAGACAGATATATGCATATATATCTTCACACAAAATTTCTATCTGACTGGTTTCACTGGGAAAGATAACTATTTCTCCAGTTCAGTGGTGGGATTCAGCCGGTTTGCACCACTTCGGCAGAACCGGTAGCTAATTTTTTGTTGCCTAGGCCCAGAATGGATTTCCAGAAGCAGCATCCACACAGAGAACCGGTTGTTCACATATTTGAATCCCACCACTACTCCAGTTCTGGGACTGATGTTAATAGTGTGTTGAATAGGAACATAAGATCTTTGAACGTACTTAATTCAAGGTTTCCCCAATCATCCTCTACAGCAGGAATAGCAACTATGGAGTGATACTGGCAGCCTTTCCATCACTATAATGAATAGGCTTTCAGCGATGGACATATCTCTGCTTTAAATATCTGAGCACTTCCAGCACCTTCTCTGAAAATGTAGAATTAATATTCTAAATCTGAATATATCTGAGATGGACTCTTATTATGTGGTAACTTCCTTAACTGACCAGACTAAAAATATAGTGGTTATCAATCTGTCCTAAATTCAGTAAGGCGTTTAATTTTAAATCCACTAAGGACCATCTTAAGGTAGCAATAGACAACCTTTCTGAAACAATGATTCAAACTGCATGTGCATCTGCACGATTATGCCTTCAACCTTAATAAGTCAATATATTTACACTCCTTTCAAAACGTATAAATCCTCAGTTTAATCAACACAACCATACAGCGGTGACTTGTGTTCAAATCAATGTTGACATAACTTCATGCTGAGAATGAACTTTCCATCATCTTCATTTTGCGGTGAAGACCTTGCCAGCAATAAATCTTCCGGGCTCTATCTCAAAGCCATGGCACTCTTTCTGCAAAAGAGATACTTATTAGCCATTACTAGAGGAAGAAAAATAGAAAAAAACAGTATATGAAACACTCCACTTTGAACAAAAATAGATTTTATTTTCCAACAGACTGTAAATAGCATTGCTGTGACTTATTCTAATTTAAAGGCTGCGAGCTATGAATGACATAAAAATGCTTAAGACAAAAAAGATAAAGACATTTCACAATTGGTTGTAATTGGGATCTTAGGGAACTTACTCACTTATTTTAGGATCAGAGCATACTAATCCAGACATGTATCCCTCAATCCTAATGTTTTCCAGGAATCCATGACTCATCAGGACCCAGGAAAGCTAACACCATTAAACAACTTTAATTAAGCATCTAAGGTCAAGTTTGGTTGGCATTTGGACTTTAGCCAACTGATTTGCAAATGCTAACCATTCAGTTGGCATTTGGACTTTAGACTGTCTTGCAGTGCTAAATAATAGTGTTGCTATGCTCTTGTGGGAAACAATGACATTAAGAATCCTGCATGTAATGTCATTTTTCTCCACAGAAGCGATTCCTTATTTTCCAACTGTTCTGGAGGGTGGGTACATTAGAAATATGCCTGGCTATAATATTGCTCTAATGCAGGGGTTCTCAATCTTGACAACTTTAAGGCTTGTGGACTTCAACTCCCAGAATTGCTCAGCCAGGCTGAGGCCAAGGTTGAGAACCCCTGCTCTAATGGCTTATCTTGCAGCTTTTGTCCATGATTTTATAGCCTTCCTGAGATTTTTTTTAAATTACCCAATATATGCTATTGCTGCCCCTCCAAAGACAAGAGTGCTTAAGAAACCTACCTTGCCAACCATAACTACAAGCTGTATCTCTGTTCTGTTGAGTCACAGTGTGGGGAACTCCTCAAAGAGATGGACCTTCTCTCAAGGACATCATCAATCTCAAAATCAGTGGCTCCCTGCAAAATACTTGTCCCATTAACTTGGATCATTCATCATGATCAGCAATGCTAAATGTTCCCAACTAAAAACAAATATATCAGCTGTTACAGGAAGAATTAAAACAGCCTATGATTACATGTTCGGGAAGAAATGATGGATGACACTGTCCTCTGTACATTATTGGTGGGGGTAACTTTCTATTAATGTTCATTACAAGTATGTATCATTTTAGAGAGACAACAGCAAGTAATGTCACTGTAGGTTAACTCACATGGATCTGTACCTCCAACATAGGGCACTGGATACAAGTGCAAATAGCTTCTCTGGTTTAAACAGAGATAACAAGAGGATTATGGAGGCGAGGTAAAATATCTGCATGATTTCTCAATAGAAAATAGCTGTGCAAAGGAGCGGCACACTAGTATAAAAAAACCATCTCTTTTATATTATGAGAACCATAAGACAAATTCTGTGATTAATCTACAGCAGACATGTCAAACACAAGGCCCGGGGACCGGATGCAGCCCGCGAAGTGGTTTCATGTGGCCCACGAAGCCATCCTGGAAACAGTGAGGGAACGGCCCCCGCTGCCTTAGCCCTGGCCCAGGCCAGCCGGGCATTAATGTACAATTTTGTTGTGGCCATCTTGGCACTTGCCCTGGTGAACCATGCCTTGGCACTTGCCATGGTCCCATCCCCTTCTGCCAGAGACCCTCAGATCTGTCCCACTCCTGCCCAGACCCTCACAGGCATCCTTGACGCGAATGATGTAGAACTGGCCACGCCTACCCAGTAGGCCACACCCACTCCAACCACACCCATCCAGTAGGCTGCACCCACTCTGGCCACACCCACCCGGCCCCCCAAGGGCAACAGCAATGCTGATGCGGCCCTCAGTGAAATTGAGTTTGACACCCCTGATCTACAGCGAGTAGCTCTACCATTGTAACAATTAAGGTAGTCTTAGTTGACAAACAACTCATGAACCTTTCTGCAACAATGGGTACTGGTGTCATTAGACTACGGGGTTTTGTTTTTAGCAACAATTTATGGCAAAATCTAAATGTGAATTATCTAAATAACCATGCTCCAAACCATCCATCTAGGAACCAGGATTCAGATTAGCTTGCTAAAAAATATAGAGTAAGAAGCATCTGCTGCTTTTGCTGCCTGTTATTCAAAGTCATCTGTCCCAAATGAGTTTTATTACATTCAAAAAATACAAAGTTAGAATGCCAGCAATCCAAGAAAATTCTTTTCTAGGATACTCCATTCCCCCTTTCTTCTGATTTTCTAGTTTCTCTGCTGCAACAGGGAGTTAGCATTTGATGTACAGACAGCAAGGGCTTTTTTCTGAGCGATGGAAGGAGTATTGGTAGGAAAAGATTCTTCTTGTTAGGACAGTTTTTAATCTTTGTTTTTTTAAAAAATTCCTATAATCCTTTTATTTCTCCCCAAAATCTCTTTAATGTGACCCTCCGCGTAGCTGATACAATTTTAGCTACCAAAATCCACGTTCAACAAATTCAATTTGCTAATAGTACAGACTACAATCCGTGGAGGAAAGTTAGCATATAAATGTAACAAAGAAAAAGAATTCACCAGCCAAAGGATTGCAGAGATAGCCTCAACAAACAGCTGCTTAATAAATGATACACGTAGGAAATAAGGACCCACCTCTCTCCTTATTTGAGCTGAACTTCCAAATCTAACTTTTGAAAGCTACCATTATTTACTTGACCTAAATATATCACATGCTCCATTGTTTTTGCTCATATAAAGGGATGACGATGATGATAATAAAACCAGGATAAAAGTTTGTTTTTGATTTTCCATGTGGAAGGAAATCGTTCCCTCCTTTTCGTTCTTCACCACTACCATAGCATTCAACTATTGAAAGGCCACCACTATCTTTGCAATACCATGTGATGCGGCCCAGAGACGGATTTATCATCTCAGCAAAGGCCAGCCTTGCCAAGGAGTAAGTGCTTGATTTTTGAGAGGAAATATAATGCAAGAAATTGACATTACAATTAATCAAAGCAGAAGATGAGCTTTCTCCATGACTTTGTCACCTTCATTTGAATCGTCAAAACTGGCAACTTGGGTGTCATTTTGCTACTCTGCAATGCCTAAGAGTATTGATTTAATTAATTAATGTGTATGCTGCCCATCTCACTAAGAGGCAACTGTAGGCAGCCTGCAATGAGATTAAAACAAAATAAAATATGAAAACAGTAAGTAAGTATCCCAGTTAAGCACATTGTACTTACAATGGAAAGCCTTTCCCTGGCTTCAGGAGAGGTAAGCAGATTCCTCACTCTCTCATTAATCTCCTCCCAGGTGGAATTGGGGCTGGAGTATAATCTGAAAAACATCCGACACTCAATACCCATGCTGTTGTCTAGGCCAAGGGTATCCAACCTTGGCAAGTTTAAACTTGTGGACTTCAAGTCCCAGAGTTCCTCAGCCAGCATGGCTCCCTGGGGAATCCTGAGAGTTGAACTCCACAGGTCTTAAAGTTGCCAAGGTTGAACACACACCTGGTCTAGGCAGATGGTCCCTTCAGATAACACAACAACTTCCATCTGCTGGCATTTCCGCAGGTTCCCCATTAGTAATGGATCTTCTTCACTCTTTACTACTAAATATGACTGCAATATATGTTCAATTTTTGTGTTCTGCAAATTGGGCTCACAAGTTACCAGCACATGAACAGTAAATGTTACTATTTTGCTGCAGAGATCAACTTTTGCTAAAGTGCTGACTAAGAACTCGAAGTATCTCTTTTACCAAGCAATTCAAATGTGTGAAATTCTCCCAGATTTTTTTTTCTATTTATACCACAAGGTCAGAATTGTTTATGGGACTTGCCTAGATCTTCGCTCATATTTTTCTTAATCTAAGCTGATCAGCATCACTGCATTGTATCCTTTAGTCAGCAGGAGGGAAGAAAATGCAGAAGACTTTCACTTTAAATTGTCAATAGCCAAGTACTCCAGACATTGCCATCTTTCATCGAAGTACATAGATATATCTTATTTAGTCATTGGCACTTTTTTTTCCCACTTTCCTCCTAACAAAATTCTCTGAGGCAGCTTGCAACAAATTTGGATCTAAGTTTTACAGAAAGTATAAAAAAATAACTATTCCAATTTGTGACACTGATGCACTAAATAGAAATATTAAAAATCCATCAGATATCACCAAGGATTTGATAAATAAAATCTATTAGCTGGTGTCTAAATTTTAAGAATTGGGACATGCTCAAATGAAAGATAGACATCTGCTTTCTGGTCCTGGAATCACTATAGAAAAAGTGGCACTCTGCCAGAGCACACCACCTTGCCTCTGAGATTTACAGATGATTCACAGTGAAAAAGGGCTATAAAGTCAATATTCTTCCCTTTCCGAAAATTTTAAAGGTCTTGGAACTGTGTCTAGAAAAAGATGGGAAGCAGGAATTTTGCTAAGCATTGGCAACAGCGTGGACAAATCTATTCAAATATAGATAAAAGGGCCAGGCTATCTGAAGGACTTTCTATCTCCTATAGTTTGATAAGATCAGGTAGAGCTGGTGTGCTTCAGATCCTGTTAATCAACCACATCATTTACTGGGATCCAGGAAATTTGTTTCCTCTTTAGTGGCACCTGCCCTATGGAATGATACCTGTCAGAGATCCAGAACATCAGGGTGGGAGCCAAATCTTAAGTGTTCTTCCAGACCTTGGAGTAGGATCCTGATGGAATCCTGCTGGTTATGTTTAGTTACAGGCAGTCTGCATATCCAGACCATGGAATTTTCTTTTTTGGTTTTAATGTCAAGCAGCTTCTAAATCTCATATAATAAATTCAGTGGCTGAATTTCATGCTAGCTGACGTTTCCAAGCAGACTTCAAAAATAGCCCTAATTATAGCATCCTGGAGGACTCTAACATGAATGTTACTTTTAATTTTAACCTTCACTTCCTGTACTTGTAATGTAATCAACCTTATTTCTTCTGTTGAAGCAATCATTTGTTTTAATTTCTTGCTTATGTCTTTATCTGTACTATCTTAGCTGTGTAGCTGCAACAAAGGGAGACTACGGTACAAGATGCTTAGAGAAATGGAATAATATTTTAAAAACCTTAAGAGATATTTTACTAGCAAATCAACTGATTGCTGAAAGGTGTTCTCAGGACTAGAGAATAGTGCACATCAACACAAAAAGCCAGATCTGGATGCAATCATAAGTTGTAAAACTGATCTTTCAAGAAGACATGAGCAAGCAAGATATAATGCATCCAAAAGAGGCTACAGTATATACAAACTTCCTGACAAAAAAAAATTGGCTGACATGGCTGAACTGAGCTTCTAATTACTGACTCTATTTGCAACTACTATGGTTCTTAGACAGCTGTTCCCATATCCTATGCAGTGATAGGGAGGGAAAAGCAGGCCTCTTTCCTGGTAATAGAGGTTATCACCAAGAAGTGGGTATTTGAGTCTTCCTTGACAGAGAGACGGAGCTTAATTATTCTATGACTGTTACTGATATGATGAAGGCAAGAAGCAGCAACTGCAGATGTCAACAATTTCTGTTGATAGGGATATGCTCTAGATCAGTGTTTCCCAAGCTTGACAATTTTAAGGCATGTGGACTTCAACTCCCAGAATTCCACAGCCAGCGTTGCTGGCTGTGGAATTCTGGGAGTTGAAGTCCTCATGCCTTAAAATTGTCAAGTTTGGGAAACACTGCTCTAGATATACGGTCCACTGGTGCTACAGTTAACCCCTAATTATCTAAGAGTGATAACCTGTGCTGGAGAGATGCCCATCTCCCACTAGGACTTGATGACTCATAATGGTTTGGGAAAGGACTTCTGTGGCAAAGACCAGGGGTCTTCCATGCATAAGTGGCAGCAGATGTCTTTGCTTCATGAAATGGTGACTCGTAATCCAAATTCTGGCCTTCCGCCGGTTCTCTGATAATCTATGAAGGAAGGAAGAATTTCCCAATAAGAGAAGCCTGCTGTAGTCCGCTGTTTTTTTCAGACTACAACTCGCCAAAGTGCCAGCCAGCATTCTGGCAATTACAGACTCCAAACACATCTAGAGGAAAACAAGATGGAGGAGATGGAGTCAGAACAAGGAACATTAATTGTGAAAAAGAAAGACACAGATAGCTGTCCACCGAATGACTATCAATGGAATCAACAGAACTCCAGGGGAGGAAGTTGGCAAATGTAACTTCCGGATTTTCATATACATACCATCACCTGTGTGGAATAAGCATTTGTCTCACCCAGGCCGAGTTTACAATATCAGATATGTTGATGCTTCAGCTCTTTCCCATTCTGAATTCTAGCTGACCATTGCAGTACTGGGGGGAGGGGGAGGGAAGGTGGTAATGGAGTTCACACATCAGAAGGCATGTATTAACTACACAATGGAATAATTGCTTAAATAATCCAGAATTCTGAATTCATCAATCAACTTATTTGCCATGTTTTTACAAACCTCTCCCCAAATGTTTACCTTAGCAGCTGGAGATGTGGTTTTCCAACTATCAAACGATATTGCTACAAGAAACAAAAACAAGCATTCTGATTAATGCCAATAATTCTTATATTGCACATGTCTTGTGTGTTAAGAGAGTTTATGAAATATCACAGGACGGTTTAATACGGCTGGTTAGATCTATTTTCTGCAATACTTATCATCCAGCTCTAATCAATTTTCAGGTACAATCTGAAATTTCAGCATGGATCTAGGCTATATTTATTAAAAGTATATAATACAGGGCATGGTTACAGCTTCCTGCTGAATTAAAACTTCTGATTAATGCTTAAGAATAGAACAATCTATAAATAACTGTCTGGAGTGTAGATAAAGATTGAAGTGCAACAATTTGGGAAAGGTCAAAACATGGAGCTGGGTAATCTGGATTTAATTAGATATAGGTATATTTTGGATGTTTCTGAATTCTTTTTTATTGTTTTAAAATGTTTTTAATATTTTGATTGCAATATATTCCTTGAATTGTATGCCATCCAGAGTCGTTGACTGAGATGGGCAACTATAGAAATTGAATAGGTAGATAGCACACAAGTTGTCTATTTATCTGTGATATGCATTGGTTTAGAATGACACCATGTCCTGATTCTCTGAAATTTAGACTGGAGTATTTTTTTTCCTGATTAATAGGAAAAAGAAACACGTTGAGCTCAACAAAGGAAATACTAATGCATGAAAGGTTTTGTTCCTTGGTTTGCCAGAATTTGGACAACATTCAATTGGGCTTTCAAGAAAAGAGATAACCTCACTTGTTTCCCTCTATTAGCAGTTGAGAATATGGTTTGGCAAGGAAATGCAAACTCCCATGTCACATGTCACTTTGAAAACCAGAGAAAGAACTGTATGCAATATAGATGCTTATGATTATTTATTAGCTGGCTAAATGCCACAGTTTATTCACAACTGAGTAACTCAGAAGTGTTTTCATCATTGAAAGCGCCTTCTACAGTACCACACTGATTAAATATTTACAATACTTATTTATCCTGGCATGTAAAAGTTTATACAATTTATCTAATAAAATGTAAGGTTTAAAATTGTTACCAAAATGGTATGAAGTTGGAAGAAGAATGCAAATCTATGGATACCTAACAAGCATCTCCGACACCAGCTTATCTCAGTTACAATTATTTTGTAAAGATAGATTTGGGTCAGGATCAGAGAAACAGATGGCAGTTTCCCGGGTACACAAATCTATGATTTGGGGGGGGGGGAAATCCCTCTACTGGAAGACTTTGAATGAAAGTCTTGGCTCTCTTCCAGACCTATGTAACAACTGCACCTTTATTTCACGGATAATCTATTCCAGATATCCTGCATAATATTACCTTGCAAGGGCATGCTGCATTGACTACAAGAAGAATAAACTGAAAGAAGACTCAGCAGATATAAGTACAAAATGTGATGCCTGAGGAGCATTTTTCCTGAGCATGAAAGGCGTTATGAAGGGTTTGTATTATGTGCCACATTTTATCTTAATTTTATGCCATTAAGAAAGATATCCACTTCTGATATAGAAAAGAAACAAGATTACTAGTGGGAAACACAACTTTGCTTAAATCACAGATCTAGGTTATCTTCTGGGCCATGGAGACTGTGAAGCACGTCATCATTCACTAGAATTAACTACTCCAGCCATGTGGTTTGTGGTCTCCCATAGCAATCTTTGTTGTAGTTTACAGAAGCAGAAACTTCCATTTACTAAATAAAATTAGATGTTCTGCCTTTGCTCTAAAATAACTCTCCTAATGTATTTAAGATCTAAGTAGTTAGTGCATGGGAAAATGGTCACAAGGAGCATCTAGAACAGATCTGGTATTTTATTTATTTATTTATTTATTTATGAGACTTATATACCGCTTTAAGTGCAAGCACTCTCTAAGCGGTGTACACCAGTAAGCAATGTATATATATATATATATATATATATATATATATTTTACATTGCCCTCAACAATCTGGGTCCTCATTTTACCTACCTCGGAAGGATGGAAGGCTGAATCAACCTTGAGCCGGTGAGATTTGAACCGCTGACCTGCTGAACACAGTCAGCTAAAGTGGCCTGCAGTACTGCACTCTAATTGCTGCTCCACCTCCAACTCATGGCCTGTAGACCACATGCAGCCCTAGACAGTTATATATGCGGTCCAAGACAATTCCTCTTCACTCAGTGCAGCCCAGGCAAGCCAAAAGATGGGACAACCATGATCTAGATCAATGGAGATCTCCAGAACAGGTTCATCAGAAGGAATAAAGATGATAAAATTCAGCCCCCATAGCATCAAAATGTGACAACATCCTGAGATGTAAGCAGACACAAAAACAATTAACATTATAAATCAATGTGTAATAAATGAGTAAGTACCTCGTTTCAACTGGTATTTGTGAGGATTTCTTGAAGTGTTGGTACCCTGTCTTGCATTTCGATATGGTAAGGGAGACAGAACTTCCTCAGAAAATCCTTTAGAAGCATCCACCTAAAAATAATGAGGAAATAGTCTCAAAATGGAATCCTAAACAATACTGAAATAATTGAAATAAAGTTTCAGGGGAGTGTGGTACACTTACTACTTATCTTCACTTGCCCCTAACATCCTTTAATATAATTATTAGTTTTAATATCATTGCAGGGTAAATATTAAACTAACTGGCTGATTTAAAAACTTGAATTAAGTCAAAAGGTTTTGCAGATACTACAAAAAATAATTACCTAACAAGTGGGCTGCTTTTAGACCTGGCATTAAGATGGGTACAAATCCAGTGCAGGGATATTTGAGGTCTTTATATGGTCCATATCTATGGTGTAGATAGGAAGGAATGCTATGTATGTATGTATGTATTTTTCAGACTACAATTTTTAATGCATTTCTTGGCTTAAAATATACCATACGTCATGAGATGAAAACACTGTGATCCACTTATCTCCACTCCCAAGAACCCAACTATGGCTGTCTCCTTATTGCTTACTGTTCTAGCTGATTAATTTTGGTCAGTCTACCCTATTGATTGTGATTACATTGTTTACTTATTCAAAATTAGTTCACGAAGCAACTGGAAGTTCTAATGCCTTTGAATGAATCAGTGTCCTGGCCACGTCTCTTTCAAAGTAAGGATGGAGGAATCAGAATGGTATAGGTAAATTTACTGATCGGCAGTTTAGTCTAGTATTTAAGGCACCTGGCTAGATTGCCAGAGATCGTGACCTTAGCCATGAAAACTTTGGGCCATTCACAGTGTCTTAGCCTGTCTACCTTACCAGGTTGTTGTTGTGGGGAAAATAGGAGGAAGAAGGATGTATTCGCTACCTTGAATAATAAAGATGGCATATCAATCAATCAATCAATGCACATAAGCTCTCATGATGTTGATTTTATCCTACCTCAAAATAATGGGTGAAATAGACTTTTGCATTATCAAGTATAGACAAGAGTCATTCTCTTGTTACTTATAAATCTATACTGTTTAAATAGACCCAAGTGGATTAAGTCTATTACATGGCTTGCTGTTAATTAAATCCCGTCATTTCTTAAGAATAGGAGATAGCTGGGATTGGTGATTTCCCAAGAATAGTATTGATTTGTTTATATAACTTTTGCAGAGGAAAGGGGCGATATTGTGAGCACTGAAACACTGGATTTATAAAGACTTCTAAAGAGATTTTTTTCTTTAGTTATATAGAAAGAAATCTTTATAACTGTCTCTGTAAGGGCAGGGAAGAGACAAGAAAAGAAACATTGATTTTGGGATGGGAAGAAAAGTGAAAATTGCACCATAACAGTTTTCTTGGAAAACATTACAACCAGCTTCGCTTGAAGATGTCAGTAGTAGCTTTACACCACAATCCTACACATGCTTACCTGGATTAAACTCAGTAGGAATCTCTTTGAAATCAATGTATATCCTTCATCAGAAATCCAGACCAAAGACTCTTATTAGGCAAGAATCCCCACTGATAGATGTGCATCTTACATCTGAGTAAAGACACACTGGCAGCATTTGTAGAAGTTTGCAAGCAACTTTAAGATAGTAAGAAATTCTACTTCCCCAATTTTTATTACACCACAGGAAAAAATGACAGTCAGACCTTCTTCATTTTAGGGTTATTATGCTAGTAAAAGGAAGTGACTGGAAGTATGTATATGTATCTATATCGGTACACATACACACGTACTTTCTGTACAATGCAAAACACACATGGGAAGTTGAGGCAAATCAAGGCTATTTTCATGTCACTGGAGAGAGCCTAGCATCAGGGAGAAGAAAGGTCTGCCCTTACAACTCCCATCAGACCAAGCCATCATGGTTAATGGTGAGGATGATGGGATGCAATCCAGCAACAGAACCAAATATTGTCAACAAATTCTTGGATCTAACAACAACACATTCCAGCGTGTGTTGAATGTACGCAGATAAAAACAAGATGAAAAACAGAATTTATTTAAATCAGCCCAATTTGAATTCTTAATCAGCCCAATTTGATGCATGTTCTTTTTTAAAAAATGAATATAACTTAGCTTTGTTATCATCCTTTTGCTTTATTTAAAGCAAAGATGCATTTAAAAAAAGGTATTACCTATGGATAAACTGAATGTATACAATTGCTAATCAATATAACATTAATCAAAGATAATAAGCAGCATATATTTAGTTTTTAGGATATATAAAAAATATAATTTAAGGTTAAAGCCAACATCTTCACTATATTGTTTATAAATGTTGCAAAAGAAGAAAAGAGAAAAAGGAAAGGTGCCCCCCTCCAAAATAGTATAGGTAAATATTTAACTTCTAACTTCCCTCTTCTTTGTGTTCCAACTAGTTTGCAATACTTAACTGGCATAAGCTTTGAAAACATTACTCCTGATGAATGTTCTTAATTGTCCCAACTAAAATCTACCATTCAATCAAAATGAATTGTTATGGAATGAAGCTGTAATAAGTTCTATCCATTTGTCCTAGAGACTCTTAACACGGATTACTCCAAAAGGAAGATGCACATTGCTTTTGTACAACACTATGTTCCTGAAGCTTTGAGAAAACTGCCCCAATGTTGAAATGAACATTTCCATCATATTTTTGGGACTTACATGCCTAACTACGAAAGGTGGCCGGTGGTCCACTTCTGTTTTGAACCGAACACCTCTCAGGTTCAGGGAAGATGGTGGCTGGTGCTTATCTCTGCAGACTTCCTGGAGACGCCTTCTCGGGCTTGGGGACGAGGAGCGGGACTCCAATGACCTCGAAAGTCTCTTACAGTTCCGACTTTTTGCTGCCTTATGTTGCACTGGTGAGATGTTCCTTTTTTCAGGTGATGTCGAAGGCCCCCCTTGTAACTTGATTTTATTGCGATCCTGCAAAATGTAGCTGATTTGTAATCTCAAGAATCAGCTGGGAAGGCAATGCACTATGGTACAGGTAACATCCCAGAGGCAACTGTTTGAACCCATGTTGGGCTGCACCCTCAACCCATGAAAGAATCCTTCTGGGCAGGACGAGGAGCCTCAAGGACAACAATGTGGTCAACGTATACAATCCTCCCTACTAATGGTGGAAACAGGCTGGCAGCTGCAGCAACTTTCAGCAGCAGCAACAAATTGACAGCAGGGTTGAACCGAATCTCCGCTTTTAGATTTGGTTCAGGAGCTCCATTAAGCCCCCCTAACAATGGCCCATTAGAGCCACTGACTGCAGGTAGTTCTCGATTTCCAACTCCAATTGGAACCTGAATTTCCATTGCAAAGCAAGGCAGTTAAGTGAATTTGCATCCAAATTTATGACTTTTTTTGCCATGGCTGTTAAGGGAATCGCTGCAGTTAAGTGAAACGCGTGGTTGTTAGGTTGTTGCAGCTGTCATGAATACATGTTAGTTGCCAAGTGCCCAAATTTTGATCAGATGACTGTGGGGAGGCTGTGATGATTGTTAAGTCCAAGAATCAATCGTATGTCATTTTCTTCAGTGCAGCTGTAACTTGGACTTACAATCATCATAGCCTCCTCACAGTCATCTGATCAAAATCTGGGCGCTTGGCAACTAGCACGTCTTTATGACAGCTGTGACATCCAGGCACAGAATCCACATCCCCAAGAGAAATGTGGTTCTTGATTACATTCAGAGACAGATTGCCCCAGATCCCCTCTGCTCAAGATAGGAGCTGGGAAAAACATAGGGCTAACATCTCCCCACAGACATGGATAAAATTGTGAAACTTCCAGGGAAAAGATTCTTATTATAGCTAAGAACTTCATTACTGCACTTTTTCTTATTTCTCTGTACGGTTAAATCTTTTTTTTTTTAAAATGTCTCTGCCCAATCTAGTGAATTCTTGCTAACTTCAAGTTCAAAGCAGGCAGATTTGATCAGATGAAAACTTTTGATAAGGTCAGAAATACCTGTTTTGAACTTGGAACAGGACATTTTGAACTTGAAATGGGACTATTTATAAAAGACAATCTTCTATTTTTTATTATTTTCAGATAATCTGAGTAAGCTTCCTTGTTTATTGTTGCTCTCTTTTTTAAGACTGCATTATGGATTTAAGTGTTTTCATAGAACATTCAAAACATACAAAGCATTATATTAAGAGTAGAGATAGGAAAAAATAAATTTGGGCAAATGCAATTGGGTCTGAAAACGACCATTTACTAAAATTACTTACACTATACCACTTGCTGGGAAGAAGCGGAAGCTCTGTAATAGTTGTTCTTGTTGAAAATTCTAATTTTGGTGCAATGCCCTTTAAACAATTTTAACATGAGGAATTAATATAAATAAATGCATGCAGAACAAGATAATACATAAATGCACTACATGAGATTGCAACTGTGTATTTTTCATTAATTTGAAGAACATCAGGTAAAATAGATATGAATTTAAATTAACTGTTAACAAGTGCATGTGCTTACAAGTTACTTTAAATAAAAATGTAAAGGTTGCATCATAAACTTACCAATTGCTTCCAATATTTTTATTTGCAGCTCATATTCTAGCTAGTAGTTACGCCAACTATCATATCATTTCAATTATCTCAAGGAACAGCAGCGTAAGGGTTTATAAGCAAATTGCTTAGTGTGATTTACATATGTGTGTTCTACTTTTAAATCATGCTGAATCAATTTCTAACTTCATATAGACTATATTTCCTTCTAGCACAAGGAACCAATGAGTTTGCTAGACCTAATATTACAGGTAATCCATGACTTATGTCATAATTGAGCCTGGAATTATGGTAAGATATGTCGATTGTTAAGCAGGTCACATGATTGACTTGATTTCACTTTTTTTGGTTGCAATAGTCATTAAGCAAAGCAATTGTCCACAACTGATATTTTTTTGTCATAAAACAGAAGTAAATGCCAATTTCTGGCAAAAAAACATCATAAATTGTGGTCCTGTGACTACAGAATAGTATAAATCAGGGGTGTCAAACTCAATTTCATTGAGGACCGCATCAGCATTGCAGTTGCCCTCAGGGAGCTGGGTGGGTGTGGCCAGGGTGGGTGCAGCCTACTGGGTAGGCGTGGTTGGAGTGAGTGTGGCCTACTGGCTGGGTGTGGCCAGCTCTACATCGTTCACGTCAAGGGTGCCTGTGGAGGCCTGGGCAGGAGTGGGATAGATCTGAGGGTCTCTGGCAGAAGAGGGTGGGACCAGGGCAAGTGCCAAGGCATGGTTCACTGGAGGAGCCTCACTGTTCCTCTCAGGCCATGTGGGGGGGGGGGCTTATGGAGCTAAGACTGAATGTGTTTCAGCATATATGGCCACCACAAAATTGTACATTGGCTACCGGCTGGCCTGGGCCAGGGCCAAGGCAGCGGGGACCGTTCCCTCACTGTTTCCAGGATGGCTTCATGGGCCACATGAAACCACTTCGCGGGCCACATCCGGCCCCCGTGCCTTGTGTTTGACATGTCTGGTATAAATGGTTGCCAATGTGGGACAGTTGCCAACTGCCTAAAATGTGATTACATGATTGTGCGGGGAGGCAGACATCAGAACTTCAAATCCAGGTTTTAAGTACCTTTTGGGAGTCTGTTGTAACTTTGACCAATCATAAGTCAAGAACTACCTGTATAAATGGCTACTTTAGATAAATCATGACACAATTTGGGAAGGGGAGCTCTCAAAAAGTAGGTAGCCACAACGGCCATTTTAGCTTTTTTAACCACCCCGCCATGTCCTGGCCTGGGACCAGGCTTCAGGTTGTTGACATCATTAGTTTGAATCTATGATATTGATTATTTTGTCTCCCTCGTGGCTCTTAAGGTCACCGTTGCTATTTCCCAACATTATTTCAATTTGGAAACATAAAAGGCACTTTCAATATTGCACAAGCGTTAAATACATATTCGAAAAGGAATTAACAGATGGAAAGGAGTTCTCTACAACAGCTTTATCAGATTATAATAAAAATGAATGACTAGGAGAGAATAACGTTTTAATATATTCTTTCATAAAACAGTCATGTAATCTGGCAAAAGCTGAAGGAGCAAATCCAACAATCTGCATCTAGAAAATCTCTGTTATTACCTTCCACAGTTCTGGAGCTGTCCAGACAATTGCTGAGAATTATGGGATTTTAATTCTGGCCCATTTCAAAGACACCAGATTAAATTAAGGCTGAAGTAACACATAAAATAAAAAAAAATCATACCAAAATTTTGGTATATGCTTTGTCACTTAAAAAATAATCCAAATTCCAAGGAAAAAATTAAGTTCTTCCCACATAGTACAATGGTTTATCACTAACTTACTAACTACTGTTTTTATTATGTCAACCGAGACTATCACTGCAGTATATTTTACTCTTTGAATTATGATAATGATTTTACTGTAAAGGGACTGTTCATGCTTTGAAGAGTTTTTAACTAATGTTCACAAATAAAAAGGAAGAAGTTGACAGATCAAATAATTCATTTCAAGATCAGGTTACTGAGCAGACATTTTTGTCATTGCTAGATGTAATCTCATTTCATACCAACATACCGGGAAAGAAGGGTAGATGTTCATTAATATCTCTCGATCCACTCCAGGATAGGAAGGAGTCAGCTTTGGCTCAGGAAATAGAAAATACCGAGTGTTTGTTTCATAAAATGCCAGCTCTTTTCCATCTGAATAGTAAATAGAGAATTGTGGCCAACAGAATAATTTTGACCAATGAAACATACAATCTCATCACACTGTACCGTATTTCAGAAAGCAAGTAATTATACTGTCCCCCATGACACATTCTGTCCCACGGCGAACAACAAATAGGCTAACAATTACTACATAATGGTAAGCATTGGATCCTGGGTTCTTCAGCCAAATGGAACAAGCAACGTGTTCACATGTACAGCTATTTCTTCTTTACACAAGCAGATAAACCAATCCAACAGAGAAATCACTGCATAATGAATAAATCCTGTATTATTCCCAGGTGGGCTAAAACTATAAAACAGTTTCAAACAGGGTTTGTTATTCACTTATCAATTGTGGCTTGTTTAGGTTTAATAACCCCAAATTCCCTGTTCAAACATCATGATAAAATTTGAAAAAGGGCTTGTACACAAGAGACAACTAATAACCTCAATAGTTTCATTTCATTTATGTACTGCAGGCAAAAGCTTTGCATTAAATCCATATGCCTCAATGCAAGAAGGAGAAGAAATTGTTGCTGAAATCCCAGGAATCATGAGAGCACCTTTTACAACATTATACAAAGACCTTTCTAACTGCAGTCAGAGTATATATCATATTATTCATCCAATTATGACTTCAATGATAATAGCCGAAATGTACTGCTGAACCATATTAGGAACACTGCTGGGCTTTGTGTCTGTGTCTGTCTGTCTGTCTGTCTGTCTCTCTCTCTCTCTCTCTCTCTGTGTGTGTGTGTGTGTGTGTGAGAGAGAGAGAGAGAGAGAGAGAGAGAGAGAGAGAGAGAGAAAGAAAGAAAGAGAAAGAATGAAAATGTCATTCAATAAAATCCTTCTTCCACTGATGAACTTTTCCTTTTTTGCAAGAAATTACTTCATGTTCTCAGGTTGACATGAACAATAGTTTCCATACTTCTCTCCTGAGTTATAATACAGTTTAGGACCATAAAGCTGTCTAAAGCATTTCCAGGATTTGCTCTATGCAGGTAATCCTCATTTAGTGACTGCAGCTGCGATTGGCAACCTGATTGTTAAGCAAAGCAACTGGTAAGTGAAAAATCACCTGACTCTGATATTTGCTTACGATTCTGTACTAACTTGACTATAACGGAAAACACATGACTGAGAGAAAAATGCAAGGATTGGTTACCAAGTTACTTTTTCCATCACTGTCATATCTGCAAACAGTTGCTAACTGAGGCGGTAGCTAAACGAAGATTATCTATACTTCCTGTAAAGGCAGAGGGATCATCATAGAATCATAGAGTTGGAAGGGACCTTGGAGGACCTGTGAGGTGGAAGTAAAAAATCTCAAGGTGGTGGTTATACCCACATGATCAATGATGGAAAAGGGGGGCGGGACTTCAAACTGTATATTCATATTTACCCTTCTGACTTTTTTAGCCCCGCCCCTCACAGATGAACCTTTGCAAAGACCAAGCACCTTCCTCCTCCATTTTTCAACAATCTCTAAATAAGAATCCTAAGCTGAAAGGAAGCCCAGCACAACTGGTCAAAAAAGGAGCTGGATTTTGTTCTGCCATTTACACGAAATGAAGCATTTAGGAGCAGGGCAAATTCAGTTAGCTATCAATGAAATAGCATTCTTCACTAGAGATTAAAGATTCTTTCCCCTCAGAAGTACAAGCGCATGCTTCAGCTAGTTGCTAATTGCATTGATAGAATTTAAACCTAGCCATAGGAAAAATGGATAAATATAGCACATGCTACTGTTTCTTATTGTAAAATATGTCATTTTTCTCTGTGACATGGGATTTAATTTCCCATTCTCCCTGTCCTCTGGCATGCGTCATTATTATATATAATTGGATTTGACCCTTCATTATCTTGAAGCATGTGGTATCACCAGAAAGTATTGTCTGTTCACTTTCATGCATTTTGTCAGCAAGGGTTTATTTTTAGCTTTCAATAGCAAAGCAAAGACATTTAATTTGGGAATGGCAAGATTCACAGCAATGTCCAGTTACTGGAGAGGGCGGTTTTGCAATGAAAACATATATAAGTCTCCTTCAAAATAAGTCCCAGTGAGTTCACCTAACAGTATACAAGATTACATATCCAAATGGTTGAAATATACCAATGTAAAAACATATTCAAACCCCAAATGTTTCAAGGATACACAGGGTTTATTGTGATTATTCCTACACCTCATAATAACACAAAATTACATGTTCTCTTGAGAAATAGCCACATGTGATACAATCACGGCATGAGAGAAAGCAGGAAAACAGTCATTTTACACTGGATACGTAGGTGCATCTGTCTGTGAACTCCAAACACTCATGATTTGTTTATCTTATCACAAGACTCTCTTTGTGGTTTGTGTTGTTGTAATTGGTCTAAATAAAAAGATGAAGAGGTCTTAAATGTGGGTCATTCAGCAGTCATTGCAATGGAAGTACCATCAGAACAGTGAGGATCCCTTTCTTATGGGTTGGTTGTTCTAGAATTAGTGGAGATATATAGCTGAAGACTCTCTCTCAAAATCCAAGAACATGCCTTGGAATTAATTGATTTGTTAAGCCACTGATTTGGCTACTATGGTATAATAATTAATGTTTATAACCTGGGGAAGGAAGAACCCTGAAGTTATGCTTCCTTCTGTAATGAAAACTTGGCGTAATGTTGCAAAACTAGAGTGTGATACTATATTAAGCTCTTGGCTGATTAGCCCTTAGTACCACATTCTATTTATGGATGATGACTATAAAAATTCAATGTCAAACTGCCCTGTAAATTTGTAGACAACTTTCAAAATCACATCTCAGCAAAGAACATATAATATTAAGATCCTGTACACCGTTGTTACACTTTTTTAATTCTCTATTTCTTGGTCACTAATTTTAGGAAGCTTGTGAGAGGCTAAAGTTATCAATATCATGAACGTTAAGATACAATTATTGCATTGCCTTCCAGTAAGTTATCAATACCAGATACATTTATAATAGATGTATGTTTGTACGATCTTTATGAAAACCACCATTGCAGTATATAGCAACTACATGTGCCTATTTTCAGTGCTAACTACAGAGCTTTCTGGATCAGAGCATCCATACATGGTGATTCATGCTGTAATAATCTTGCCTCTTGACCTCTGTAATATACTCTATAAGAACTGCCTTTGTTAGATGCTCTAGTGCAGAATGAGCTGACTTGTTACTCAGCAGTATGCGTGATAAAACTATTCTAGACCTACTGAGGAAATCATACAATCTAAAAGTAAAGATGGTACAAGCAGACCGTGAGGAATCTAAATGTTGTGATGATGTCCAAAGCTTAAATACTGAAACAGAAACAATAGAAGACATATTTTTTTAAAAAATTCTTGTCTTAGAGTGGCACAATAAATAGAATTCTAATAAAATCCAGCTAAGCCTGAAACAAGTACTTTATATTAGACACTTGCCGAAAATGGAGTCCATAAGCTGGACCTGGGAAAGGTCAAGCAATGCAAGGGATTTTGAGACCAAATGACATGAAAGGAATCCAGAAATTCTTCAGTATAAATAAGTAGCCTGGCAAAGTTTTGCACAGAGATCATTGTGGAACACTCTCATAATTGAAAATAAGAATGTTGAGTGAGAATGATACGAAAGTGATTTGCAGGCATTAATTTTAAAATTAAAGACTATCCCAAATCTCTGTTTTTCTGTACTAAAGTTCAGCAGAACAGCTTACGCTGCAAAACAACACAACAGAGATATGGCTAGGAACTCTACACTGTATATTCTAATCAAGCATTCTTTTAAAGTAATCAAAGTTACACATAGTTTGGGAAAGAACCATTACCTGAACATAGAAAAGTTCCATGTGTTTTCATTTGGTCAAACAGTGCAGCCCCAATAAGAACACAAACCTTGGAAATGTATTGCACAGATACTATTGCAAGGTGCCCTGAAGAGTTTCAAGAAATCTTAATAAAATTTCAATGATTTGATATATGAAAATTCCATAAAAACTTCATCTTGCACTGGGAGAAACTTTATACAGAGCATTCCTCTATAAGCCACCAAAGAGGATTTTATACAGAAGGACACAGAACCGATAAAGTGTGGCAGTATTTAAGTTTTCTAACACTGTTAACAGGCAATGGGAATACAGAAAACCATAGAAGAAGATGAAGATATACAGATGGTCAGACACAGGAGAAGTGACCAGACTATATATGAGCTACCAGTGGAGGTTTAGTGCCCAAGATGGGATCTTAATTAGAGGCAATGAGGCTACTCTTTTTCAGGCCTTGCAGTTCCACATAAGTAAAAATACTGATAGCAGACAAGAATATCAATCTTAGCCTGGCATAAATGCCCAGATGAAAATGTAGAAAACTGAGATAATCTATTACATTTTTATTCTAATTTTGTGGAGAAAGACTTACTGTCAAATACCAGGTTAAAGTTAAGAGTTGCTTCATTCACTGTGTAATAGCTGATGTAACAGTTCTGAATAATAAGTCACAATTTATATATAGGGAATTTAATGCTTTCCAGACATAGTGGGAATCATAGTTTCAAACTACTTTGCCTGCTTGTTCCCATAACAGTGAAAAAGCACATCCAGCTGTCATGATAACAATAATCAAAGAAAACCAAGAAAGCTGGACCTAATTTATACCAAGTCTTCTTTGATATCTTTAAATGCTTTTGAATCTGACTCAAAAACTGATGAGTTGGTGAACTATGATCTTCTGAATATCAGAGGGCCATAATAAAGAACTTGGATTTTAGTTGAGCAGAAAGTAAGATGTAATGAATACTGTAAAATATTGATTAAGTGTCTTTCTGCCTTAAGAACAATGGGCCAATATAGGGGTGTGTGTGTGTATCTATATATGTATCTATATATCTATATATCCATACACACAGAGACACACAAAAAGAGAGAGAGAGAGAGAGAGAGAGAGAGAGAGAGAGAGAGAGAGGCAGACAGACAGACAGACAGACAGACATGATTGACACCCCAAAAGGATATTTTCCTTGCTTAACCCACAACACGTAGTGGGCCCAGTTACCAAAACTGGAGGTTTCAGGACCACCCAAATACTTTTGACTATCATCAGTTTCAACATTGCCAGGAAAGACCAACCTTTGCTGTTATACCATGCAGTAGAACTTTGGCTGGATTACTTCTGCAGAGATTCGTTTCATGAGGGCATATAAACACATTTTAAAAATATAATTATTTTTGAATGTTACCATTAGAAATAATATTTTTGTTAAAGTGGTTGAAGGAAGGATGTATCAATACAGGGAGACCCAAACTGAAAAGAAGTAGGGAAGCAGAAAATAGGACAAAAGGGATTTAGTCCTTGCTCAGAAGACCTATTCTGCCACCCTGTGTTCACTTCTAAGAAAGTTTTAACACATAACAAGCATAGTTGCTTCCCCTGAACTTTAAATTATGCACTCCTATCAGGACATTTATTTTGCCCAGAATGATTTCCAATTTTGAGAGCAAATGAAAATTTCAGAACATGTAAGGGCTGGTGGGTAATGCCTATTCTCTAAATGGTTTTTGTAGGAGAATAAACATGGCCAGTCACAAAACATAGTGTCTCAATATAAAAAAAAAAGTGGACTTCTGAGTTCTCAAATTCAAAGCAATTCTTAGTATCTTTATGAAAGGAAAGATCACTCCTAAATCAATTTTCCAAACAGACCCCACGAAATAAAGACACGGCTATACATCCTATACAGCAAACTCACAGAAGTGTACTCAAAATACCTATTCCCTTACAGAAATAACTCATCATACTTCTGCCATGCATTCTTCTCCAATTTTCTCAGGAGTCTAACCCTCTTTTCACACCACGTCAATATTTCCTTTAAAACAGGTCTGTCCAATCTTGTCAAATTTAAGACCTGTGGACTTCAATTCCGAGGATTCGCCAATTGGCCATGCTAGCTGGAGAATTCTAAGAGTTGCCATTCACAAGTCTTAAAGTTGCCCAGGTTGGAACAACCTTGTTTTAAAAAGTTTGCATCCCCCATGATTATATCCCTTGCTCTAGAAGTATCACAATTGCTCCAGCAACCATCATTCATGCTGGCCTCAGGTTTCCAGGCAAAGTTGGCTGCTCTTTTTCTGTCTTTTAGTTTTAACAAATGGATTTCAATGCCAATCACTGGTCTGCAGGCGCTATCAATTTCCTACAATGCTAGGGGTAGCTTAAGGAAATAAGAACTGTGGCCAAAGAATTGGCATTTGTCTTGTTTATGCATCAACAATTACATAAAAAAGAAGAAAGAATGAACTTTACAGATTTCTGAGGAAATAATATTTTTCATATACAGGTAGTCCTCAACTTACCTTTACTTTTGTTCATTTAGTGACTGTTCCAATATAACAGCACTGAAAAAAGTGACTTATGACCATTTTTCAGACTTTTGACCATGGCAGCATCCGCATGGTCATGTGACGAAAATTCATATGCTTGGTAACTGACTCCTATTTAATATGGTTGCAGTGTTGTAGGGTCATGTGATCTCCTTTTGTGACTTTCTGACAAACAAAGGCAATGGCAAAGCCAAATTCACTTAACAACTGTGTTACTAACTTAACAACTGCAGTGATTCATTTAACAAATGTGACTTGAAAGGTCGTAAAATGGGTCAAAAGTCACTGAACTGTTTTGCTTAGCAACATAAATTTTGTACTGAATTGTGATCGTAAGTGAAGGACCACCTGTATAAATTTCATACTCGGAAACTTCAGCTATATAACTTCTGTTCAAGATCATCTCATTTATAACTAAAACTAATGATAAATATGGCAACATCAGAGATCAAAAAGCTCTCTTCATAAATAGTAATTCATTTCACTTCACTTCACTTACTTCACTTAATTAGTAATTCTTCCATTACAGAACAGATGAGGTTGAAAAAATATTTCTCAAATTTACCTGAAGGTATCAGTTCAGATAATCGAAACTTTGTCACATTTTCTGAAAATGACAGATAAAACACGTTATTCACGAGAGCTGAGCAAATATCACATTTATATGCAAAAGTGCTGAAGCCTCGAAACCCTATGAGGCACATGTTCTTAGATCCTCCATATGGTATTACTCATCTTTTATTCTTCAAGGGACTCCCCTTCATTTTAGTTCACTTTAATGAATGATAGATATTGAAAAAACATTCAAGATTTATTTATTTATTTGTATCCTGCCTTTATTATTTTTACAAATACCTCAAGGTGGCCAACGTAACCAACACACCTTCCTCCTCCTATTTTCCTCACAACAACCCTGTGTGGTGAGTTGGGCTGAAAGAAAATGACCAAGATCACCTGGTCAGCTTTCATGTCTATGATATCCAAATGCTACTTCTTTCATCTAGTAATATTCTACTCTATTGCAGGAGGGAAATAAAAGGCTTTTCTTGAAATATTCCCAAACCACACATGATCTTCAAACGTATTCCTGAACATTACAAAGAAGGAAATGCAAAAAACAGCACACAGCAATTCTTTTTTTCTTCACATTCTATTTAAAAAAAAAAAAAACCTATACTTTTGATTGTGATTTCACAATTCAAATGGGGTCCTGAAACCTTGGTTTGGTCCTTTGTTTGATCTCAGTATTAATACAGTAGTTTAATCAAATCCATCCCCCAAGCTGAAATAGCATCGGGAACTGCTCAATTTAAAAGTTAAAAAAAAAAGTCTGCTTTTGATCCTCTGCACTGCCACACAAGAACAGAAAGGAAAAGATTTTGTATATATATATATATATATATACTGTCTACAGCACCTTCAATCTGGTCCAGTTTGGTGAAGTGGCTTATGTATTATCTCAACCCGTGAGTTGAGAGCAGAATTAGAACTGTCTCCCAAAGGGTTAGGGGAGGTGAAAAATGATGACACAAGCATTGCAGCTTCACAATGTACCTTATGCCCTTTTTGTACATGGGTTGTGGCACTGCAACAGCTATCAGGCCAATTATGGCATAATTACTGAAAAACATGACTGCCAGGCCCCTGCAGGATGGAATTTCAAAGCTATAATTTTATGTTTTTATAATGCTAAGTAACCGTGAGAGCAAATATGATTTACTCATTTATCCAGGCTTGTACACTTACAATAAGTGCCTAAGTACATTTAAGAACCAATGAATTAGAATGTTGGGATATCGTTATCTCAGTTTTTACTAAATGTTTAGTAATTAGTCTGATGGTTTAATTCAATAATTAATTTTGTGTCTCCTACCTCCTCTTTCGATATCTCATTATTTTATTTTTATGCCTTCATGTATTTAACTTCTTTAAAAGAAACTTACATAATACTGGTCACCGGCCATTCTGAAAGCAAATTTTACTTGTAAGAGCAAGTAATATATTTTGGGAGACTTACTTTCTAGCAGCTCTACAACAGTAATAGGATCTGTAGCATTTTCAAATACCTACAAGAATAGAAACCAAAAAAAAGGGACGATATTAAAACTGTTAGAAATAGCAATTTGTTCAAGAAAGTTCTATTTGATTAATATTCATCCTTTCAGATTTTTAATTTATTCAATTGAGTGAAGTTAAATAAACATAAATATTATCAAAATGTCAATTCAGACATTTTCGGCATAGTGAAGGAAATTTAAAAGATCCTTCACTACTATCCATCAGATAAAATAACCTTGCTAAATAAAACAGTCTGAATTACTAAGTTGGATTCTGGCATGCAGACACTGTGGTAGATGTTTGCTGTCATTAATCATTAAAATAAACCAAAGTTAATTCACATTGATAAAACATACCAGCAACCCTTAAAAGAAACACCCCATAATACCCATATTATATGACAGTGGTGGCGAACCTATGGCACACGTGCCAGAGGCGGTACTCGGAGCCCTCTCTGTGGGCACACATGCTGTTGCCCCAGCCTTGCCTCCTCCTGTGACCCCCTCACCGGCAGCCCCCCAGGAGGAGAGTCACCGAGCGTGGCCCGCGCGGAGCAGCGCAAGCAAGGACATGGCAGCCCGGCAATGTAGACAAGACTCTGCCCTCACACCCCATCACGCACAGTTGATGCTGTGGAGCGCGGGCAGAGGGCATGGCTGCAATGGTGCTGCTGGGCTGCCTGGGTGATCTGCGGTGGGCCCTGGAGGTGGTGAGTGGCCCTGCGGGCAGGCAGGATAGGGGTGGGGCAGGGGATGGAGCAGGGGCGGGGCCAGTTTTTGGGCACTCGGTCTCTAAAAGGTACGCCATCACTGTTGTATGACAATCTTTACATGATGAGTGGAAAGCAATTGGCCAAAGTTAAGCCATGCTAAAAAAGAGAGGGAGAGTGTTTACTCCCCTTAAAAAAGGACTGGTTTAGAGGGCACAGTTTTGCCTTCTTCTCCGATCCTGCCTCTCTCAAAAATTGATGGAGATGGAAAGGGTGCTGTGGGGAGCAGCTGTTGCATCACTGCGGGAACCACTGATGCAAAAAGCTGCATCAGAGAGACCCCAAAGCAGCCTCTGAGGCCTAGAAGCACTATGGAAAATTAGGATGGCAGCTGCTATGCAGTAAATGTCCCGCCTGATATTTATATTCATTGAGCAGAATCTTGAAGCTCACTTGAAAGATTGCAAAAAAACATTTGGAATCCTGGATTCCAACAAAGAGCTCAAAAACATCTACACGGGGGGTAGGGGTCAAGAAATGCAAGATAGCAGCCATAACCCAGGATCAAAGTCTCAGCTCTCTGGGGCATTGATCCTACCAGGGTTATTCCCTTTCTCGGCAACTAACTTTTACAAAGTGCGGAAAAAGAGTAAGATACAAAAGGTATCAAAGACAGAGGATAAAAGACAAGCCAATGAAATCCTATCTAATATAGAATAGAATAGAATAGAATAGAATAGAATAGAATAGAATAGAATAGAATAGAATAGAATAGAATAGTGTTGGAATATTCATGAACAGGAAGAGTCATGTGGTAACTCAGTCAGCCAATGGGAAGAAAGTGCTACTGAGTCTGTGCAAAAAAAGAGTATTGAGTTAGGAGCTGGATTTCCAGTCTCAAGTTTTTGTCTCTGGTCTGTCTCTGTAAGAACTCTTCAATTAAGCTATGTTGCTGTAAAGAAGAATGGTATTGTAAATATTTTTATATAAATATAAAGTTATTTGAATCACCTAAATGCAGTCAACTGTGAGAGCTTCTGATTTATTTTTCACCAATAGAGAAAATTAAAAATCTCTAACAAATAGAATAACACAGTTGAAAGGGACCTTGGAGGTCTTCTAGTCTAACCCTTTGCTCAGGCAGGAAACTCGTGTTTATGCCTATACATTTCACTGTGCCTTTCTGTTCTTTTTAATCTTTGCAAACCAACCTTGTGTCGTGAGAAGAAGAACAACTATCTATGTAGTAGATGCGTACAAAATGGCTTTCAAAATATTTACACCTCCCACATGATTATAACAGGTGAATGTAAATTTCAGACAGTTTTCCATCAAGCATTAAGAGAAACAGCCTAATGCTAGTGTTATTTAATATTTCATCATTCTGCCTTAGAATGAAGTAGATACTCTTGTCATTATCCTTCTCATTACAGATGTTGTCTTGACAAGAGATTGGGTGGGACAGATGATCTCCTAGGGCAGAGGTCCCCAACCCCCAGTCAGTGGACTGGTACGGGCCGCAGCATGCCAGCAACCGGTCTCCACAAACAAGCAAAGCCCCATCTGTGGGACGCAGGCACTCTCAGGTCTGTGGAAAAACCTTTCTCCACGGAACCGGTCCCTGGTGCCCAAAAGGTTGGGGACCTCTGTCCTAGGGCTTCTGAATGAGGCTATCTTGCTTGTGACTTTCCATACCTTTGGGTCTGATCAATGCTTACACTTAAATAAGAAACAAGGCCATGACATTGGGCGTTTCTGTTTTTGTTTTTAACATACCTTCTCAAACCACATTTTCTCATGAAACAAGAGAGGGAACATTGGAGGAAGGCAATCGGTCTCCTTGCACTGACCCAGAATACAGACAGTGAGATAAACATCGTTCTTCTCTGTCAAATATACACCAGGGCAAGATATCTTGGATGAAAAAAAGAAGAGATTACAATCATCATGAGGTGGTCAGAGTACTCAGTGTAAAATATCAGGTAGTCCTTGACTTACAACAGTTCATTTAGTGACCGTTCAAAGTTACAACAGTACTGAAAAAAGTGACTAATGACTGTTTTTCACACTTACAACTATTGCAGCATTCCCATGATCAAGTGATCAAAATTCAGATGCTTGGCAACTGATTCTTATTTACAACGGTTGTTGTGTCCCAGGGTCATGTGATCCCCTTTTGTGACTTTCTGACAAGCAAAGTCAACGGGGAAGCCAGATTCACTTAACAATTGGATTACTAACTTATCAACTGCAGTGATTCACTTAACAACCGAGGCAAGAAAGGTCATAAAATAGGGCAAAATTCACTTAACAAATGTCTCACTTAACAACTGAAATTTTGGGCTCAGTTGCAGTTGCAAGTTGAGGATTACCTATGAATGGGATACATTATCTATTTAATACATATAGCAGGGGTCTTCAAACTCGGCCCTTTTATGACTCATAGACTTCAACTCCCAGAATTCCTCAGCCAGGCATGCTGGCTGAGGAATTCTGGGAATTGAGGTCCATGAGTCATAAAAGGGCCCCTGACATATAGCATTATCTAATTGCTACATATTCTACCATTTGCAAAATTATGAATAATTGCAGACACAGTAACACAGACATGGGATTGATTCAATGTTTTCTTGGAAATATTTGCCATGGTAGAGAAAGAAGATCTGTCAGATAAAGTAGGTGGAAAGCCATTTCATACTATGCATGCCTTGCCGTCACCTGGCATAGGAAGTGTTACACATGGCTGCATGATACCGTATGGATGTAATGTTAGATTGGCTGAGGATGATAGATGTTCTACCTGCTGGAGTCATAGTATTCCATCTGCAAGTGCTTGTTGTGCTACTCTTTAGAGTGCTTTTAACGGTTAGACATAAGGGGGGGGAGTAAACATAGAGTTAGGATTTTAAATGTTTAATCCTAAAAATAAATTTGAGGATTAGCATTAGGGTGAGATTTTGGACACAGCAGTGCTTATTTATTTATTTATTTATGAGACTTATATACCGCTTTAAGTGCAAGCACTCTCTAAGCAGTGTACACCAGTAAGCAATGTGTGTATATATATATATATATATATATATATATATATATATATATATATATATATTAAACAATAAAATATACGAACACCAGGAAGTTATAAAACTATAAAAAGTTTTAATAAAACCAGAATAAAACCAAGCTTTCGCTGGCATCTGCCAGCATCATCAGGGTAGTCTCCAGTTGATGGGAGAAGCTATTTATAAGTGTGGCGTTCTTTGCGCCCGGCTTCTTGACCTCGTCATGGGTCCCAGCCAATCCACCTGCGTTTTAATCGTAGTTTCTGTGTTGCAAGCTGTAATTTCCTCACTTTCCTTACTTATGCTGGTACCGCAGCTCTTCCTCCCTTCTTTGCATAACTGTAAGTCAGGGGGACTCCTTAATTCCACGTAATTAGATGTGTACTGTCTGTGTTTATGTTGTTTATTCACCTCATCCTCCTTCTTGGTACTCCCTATTTCTCTTCTCCTCCCCCTGTTTCTCTGTTTACGACCCTATATATAAAATGAGGACCCAACAATCTGGGTCCTCATTTTACCTACCCCGGAAGGATGGAAGGCTGAGTCAACCTTGAGCCGGTGAGATTTGAACCGCTGATCTGCTGAACACAGTCAGCTAAAGTGGCCTGCAGTACTGCACTCTAACTGCTGCGCCACCTCGGCTCAAAAATGGATGTTAAAGTTAGGGCAGAGTTCTGGGGCAATGCTTCAGGGAAAAACTAAAGCTGAGGTTAAGGTTAGGGCTAGGTTTCCTTGAAATCTATAATAAAAATGAGTGTGAGAATAGAACATGAATATTTATGCAAAGTGCTATCCTTTGGTTGATATTAGGAGGAAGGTAAGAGTGCTGAAGCAATACTTTAAGTACATATTATTGATATACCTAAGGATAAGGATACGGCTAGGTTTCGGGTTCCTTGAACTAGGACAGCGGTAGGCAACCTCGGCTCTTTTATGACTCATGGACTTCAACTCCCAGAATTCCTGAGTCAGTTATGCTGACTTAGGAATTCTGGGAGTTGAAGTCCATGAGTCATAAAAGAGCCGAGGTTGCCTACCTCTGAACTAGGAGAAGGTAGTGTTGGTTAGGTCGGAGTTGAACTTCCATTCACCCAAATGTGAACCATAGTAATCATTTTTAGCTGCAAACTATACAGAAGATTCCCTTTAAGAATAAAAAAATACTCCCCAATTTTATTTATTTATTTATTAAACAAACTTATATGGCTGTGTGACTCTGGGCAGCTTTACAACACTAAAAAAAAAAACAGTTAAAACATTTAAAAGCCTATCATATCTTAATGGATTTTAAGTTTAATAAAATTGAATACATATAAAAGTGTTTGCCTATGCATTGACCTATTATTCACCTTAACAAAAATCTTAAGACACAATCCATAAAATTGCACTGCCTCCCGGTTTGGGTTAAGATTCCTTAAAACTGAATTAAACTTTAGTATGAGGGCTGTGATTAGAATGCATCCTTATGATGATTATTGATTAATATTGATTATTGATTAATATTAGTATTAACAGTAATAAATGAAATATTAATATTTATTAATAGTAATAAATTAAATTCAATGTAGGTAATAGTAAGGTCCTACCCTTAGGCAAGAAAAACTAACTGTATGTATAGACCAGGTCAAACTTGACTCAATGCCAGTAACTGTAAGAGGGATCTTGGAGTCCAATCACTTAAGTATGATTGTGCGGCAGCAGCCAAAAAAGCAAATGCAATCCTAGGCTGCATTAATAGAGAGATAGAATCAAGCTCACGTGAGATATTAGTACTGTTTTACAAAGCCTTAGTACGGCCACGCTTGGAATACTGCATCCAGTTTTGATTACCATAATATAAAAAAGATGTTGAGACTCTAGAAAGAGTGCAGAGAAAAGCAACAAAGATGATTAAGGGGCTGGAGACTAAAACGTTTGAAGAATGATTACAGGAATTGGGTATGTCTAGTCTAGAGAATAGAAGGACTAGAGGAGATATGATAGCAGTGATCCAGTATTTCAGTGGTTGCCACAAAGATGGGGGAGGGACAAACTATTTACCAAAGATAAGAAATAATGGATGGAAACTAATCAAGGAGAGAAGCAATCTAGAACTAAGGAGAAATTTCCTAACGGTGAGAACAATCAACCAGTGGAAGGGCTTGCCTTCAAAAGTTGTAGGTGCCCCATCACCAGAGGTTTTCAAGAAAAGACTGGACAGCCATTTGTCTAAAATGGTATAGACCAGCAGTTCTCAACCTGTGGATCACGACCCTTTTGGGGGTCGCATGAGCCTTTCACAGGGGTCACCTAAGACCATCGGAAAACACATATTTCCGATGGTCTTAGGCAGGGCTTGTCAACCGCCTTCTCTCTCCCCTCCCTCCACTCCACCTCACTTGTTTGTGGAAAATATGCTGCTTGGTGGTAGTCTGCACAAACTCTACCAAATGCGCCCTGCAGGGGGCGCATGAAGAGCACAGGTGCAGAGCAAGGCCCCGTCGTCCCCAGAGACTCATTGTGCAGCAACCGGATTGACTTCTTCTCGTGCATGCAGGTCAGCAAAGGGGAGGCTGCCACAGCACCCAACTCCTGCACCCGTCAGCTGGTGACCCCCGAACTTGCGCTTGTCAGCCGGGAGGTCTGGCGACGGCCACCGGTCTCCTTTGCCACCCTGCACGTCCTCGACTCTGCCCGTTCATGTCGAGCCCGCCGGGGCTTGACAGGGAGAGAGGGAGGGAAGGAGGGACTCCTCCTCCTCTCCTAAGCTTCAAAGCACAATCGGCTTCCCAAGAGTGCCACAATCCTCACAAAAGCGGGGGGGGAGAAGCAAAGGGGGCGAGAAAGCTCATGGCAGGCTCGAAGGAGCACCTGTCAGCATTGGTGACGAGAAATTCCCCACAAACCCAGGGAAGGGGTGGAGAAAAGGAGCCCCCTTTGGGAGGAAACCGCCACCTTCTTCTCCTTGGTTTTGCGCTCTTGTTTCTCGCCAGCCAGGCTGCCAAGCCTCTGCTGGCTGGAACTTCCTTTCCTTCCCTCCCTCTTGGTCTCTTTCTCTTTCCCTCCCTCTCCCCTTGTCCGTCCCTTCCTTCCTTCCTTCCTTCTTTCCTTCGCCTCCCTCTTTGTCCCTCCTTCCCTCCTTCTTTCCCCTTGTCCCTTCCGTCCTTCCTTCCTTCTTGTCCAGGATCGGGGCAAATCTCTACAGCTGATCCACGCTTTGCGGGAGCAGCCAAGAAGCAGGTCAGCTGTAGCAGCTCCCCTTGGCTCCTGCCCAGCAAACTTGCTCAAGCTTTGCTAGAAAACATGCTGCTTGCTAATTTAGCAGAAGCGCAAATCAGATGTAGCCAGGCGCTGATCCTGGGGCTTCTGCTAACTTAGCAAGCGGCCTGTTTTCTGGTGAAGCTGAGCAAGTGAGCTGGGCGGACTTCTCCTCTGCCTCTGGCAGCCTGTCCCCCTCCCCTTGTCCCTTCCTGGGCATGGAGGGGGGGGAAGAAGGAAGGGACGAAGAGGGAGGGAAATAAGGGACAATGAGAGAGGGAAGGAAGGGAGGAACAATGGAAGGGAGGGAAGGAAGGGACAAAGAGGGAAGGAAGGAAGGAACTAAGAGAGAGGGGAAGGAAAAGAAGGAAAGGACAATGGGAAAGAGGAAGGGAAGGAGGAAGAGACTAAGGGAGGTGAAGGAAAGGAAGGAAAGAAGGAAGGAAGGGACAATGGGAGAGAGGGAGGGAAGGAGGGAAGGAGGAAGAGACTAAGAGAGGTGAAGGAAAGGAAGGAAAGAAGGAAGAAAGGGACAATGGGAAAGAGGGAGGGAAGGAGGAAGAGACTAAGAAGGAGGTGAAGGAAAGGAAGGAAAGAAGGAAGGAAGGGATAATGGGAGAGAGGGAGGGAAGGAGGAAGAGACTAAGAAGGAGGTGAAGGAAAGGAAAGAAAGAAGGAAGGGACAATGGAAAGAGGGAGGGAAGGCGGAAGAGACTAAGGGAGGTGAAGGAAAGGAAGAAAAGAAGGAAGGAAGGGACAATGGGAGAGGGAGGGAAGGAGGAAGAGACTAAGAAGGAGGTGAAGGAAAGGAAGGAAAGAAGGAAGAGACAATGGAAAAGAGGGAGGGAAGGCAGAAGAGACTAAGGGAGGTGAAGGAAAGGAAGAAAAGAAGGAAGGAACAAGGGGAGAGAATGGAGGGAAGGAAGGCAGGCACCCACCCCAGTTCCATCCCAGAAACCCACAGATTCCCCCCCACAAGCACTCTACAACCTGAGTGATCAGCTAGCCATGCCCCCTGGCCATTGATCACGTGACCCTGGGACACCGTGAATGTCATAAGTATGAATCAGTTGTCAAGCATCCAAATGTAAATCACATGACCCTGGGGATGCTGCAACAATCATAAGTGTGAAAAATGATCATAATTCACTTTTTCAGTGCTGTTGTAACTTCAAACAATCATTAAGCGAATTGTTGTAAGTCGAGGACTACCTATACTTTCCCATTTTTTCTTTTTTTTTTTTGGTCAAGTTTTTGATACCCCCCAGCTAGCTGGATGGGGGGGTTGGGGGTCACCACAACATGAGGAACTGTATTAAAGGGTCGCGGCATTAGGAAGGTTGAGAACCACTGGTATAGACTCTGCTGCTCGAACAGGGGGTTGGACTAGATGGCCTCTGGGGTCCCTTCCAACTCTCTGATTCTATGTTCTATTACATTGGGAATTGCCTGCTGGAATAAGGGTTAATGTAAATATTTGAATTGGCTTTAAGATGAAATTACAGAAGAGGTTACCACTCATTGAGGCCTAGCTCAAATTTTGCATTAAGCTTTAGAATGACATCTTAAGCTTCATGCTAATTTTATGTATATCTTCCCCCTAAGAATGATTCTTTCCCTTCACTTTGCAGTGAATATATTTTTATGTATGAGTTAAGGTTAGAGTTGAGATGAATTTAGGATCAAGGATAGCAGACAGTATATGCTAATAATAAGCACAGAGTTTTAATGCATAGAGTTTGTTTAAACTGATATAGTTGGGTGCTGCAACAATCCTTTGGGAAAATAATCTGATGCCAAAAGTTGAAGTTAAAGTTAGAAATAAGTTTCCTTGCAAGACGGTTAGCATCAGGATGCAATTTTATAAATACCATGGTCTTCAGTTAATTTACCAAGTAAGATTTATAAGTGGAGCAATGTTTGACAGAATATTTTTCTTTAATAGATTGAGGTTAGGGTTAGGGTTAAAATTTCAAGACTATTAACCTAGTGTCAAGAGCAGCTCATTTTAGCAGTGCATATTTGAATGAACAATAACGTTGCAAAAATGTACTGGGATAGGGTGTAAAGTGACAGCAGAGCTGAATTACAGAGATCAGGACTTCCAAATTTCTCAAATTAGTGTCTTCGGCATTGAGCCGTGATTTTTCATCGTTGCAACTTCACTTCCGTTTTGCAGAATAGCCTGGCAACTAACAACATGAATCTTCTGTCAACCATTCCCCCCGTCCCCCACCCGCCGCCAACCTCCCACGAACCACTGAAAGTAGAAAAAAAGGCACATTTTCCCAGTCCAGGATGGGGCTGCAAACATTTCCCGCTCCAGCTACCTTTGCAAGGTTCCCCCTTGCTGGCTTCGAGCCCCTCTCACCGCATGGATCTGCAGCTCCACCACTACTTTCAGCGGCATCCCCACCAGCTGTCTCTCCGCCCGAGGTCTCGGCGCGGAAAACGGGGGCTCGGCCACGACACCTGTCCCGCGGAGGGGTGGAAAGGAAAGCGTCGAGTCACCCTGGAGACGCCAACGTTCCAACAGTCCCGACCAGGCGGAGGGGAGGGGCGGGGCCTCGGCGAGGCTTCAGGTGGAGCGGCCGGGTCGCCTTCGCAACTTCGGGCGATCCCTGGTCGCGTTGGGGGATGCAACTTCGGTTGGGCAAGACTGGCGCTTCGCGGCTGATCTCCTGCGCGCCGAGCTTCTCCTCACCCAGCCTTCGGGAAAGGGGGTCGCCAGCCCCGATCGAGCCCTTTGTAGCTGTGGAGCAGGCTTCCAATATTGGCAGTTCAGGGAATTTAAATGCAGCTGTTACATGCGGACCACGTTTGTGAAAGTTACTGGAGTTAAATGGCCTGTCGCTTCACAATTTGGTGCAATCCAGACTCCAGATGTTTTAAAAACGAACCGAGAACTTTCCTTGTCTTTTTTTTTTTTCCTTGCTTGCCCCCCCCCCTCTTCTCCTTTAGGGAGTGGATGTATTTCTTTCAAAAACAAAACAAAAAATGGAGCATCATCAAGGCTCCCCAACCGGGGGCCTTTAAATTTGTCGGCTCAGCTGCTAGTTGGTGTTGGTGGGAGCTAGCCCATCTGGAAAACAGCAACGCAAATACCTGAAAGGCCGATAGATGATGCGCCGTACCCGTTTGCGTATTTTTTGCAGCAAAAAAAGAAAGAAAATCAGCAATCCCGTGCAGTGACTTTAAAAAAAAAATAAAAAAACCAACTCCGTGGATCTTAATGTACAAACAAAGGCGTGAGGGATCGCTTGTATAGTTGTTATATTTTTAAGTGAGATAAAACTTATTATTTTGCGCCAAGAAATGACTGCCAGCGGGTCCGCCGGAGCCGCGCACGGAGTAGCGAGGGCACCATTCACAAATTACTGAAGCGCGCGCCGTTGTGGCGCGCTCCCCCGGTCTCCTAGCAACATCCTCCCCGCCCGTCAATGCCGAGATCGTCACGCGATAGACAGACGGGGGAGGCAGCGCGGTGAAATCATAAATAGGGGACGCTTTGTTGTTGCCGGAAATGACTTGCAGTCTCGCTTCCGGTGGGGTCCGCAACGGTTTCTGGTAGCGGCGCAAGCCAGGAGGAGGCGGAGGAGGTCCTCGCCTTTTGGTGGGGTTCGGCGAGAGAATGGAGCTTTGGCCTCCGCGTTCTCGTGAGGTACCTTCGAGTCGGGTTGAAGACCTTTCTGAGCCAAACGCCCAGGTACGGCCACTTTCTGCATAGCCACGCCGCTTCTTTCACGCCCCCTTAAAACTAGTCCGCAGGTGGAACATGAATCTCTCTCAGCCTGGGCATTCTGCTATGGCGACTGCCCTAACCTTGTTTCCTTTAACCCTCCCTCCTTTCCTCCCTCCCTCCTTTCTTCCCTCCCTCATCCCTCCCCACCCCCGTCCCTTCCTCCGTCCTCCCTCCCTCCTTTCCTTTCTCCCTTCCTTCCTCCCTCCCTTCCTCCTCCCCTCCCTCCCTCCTTTCCTTTCTCCCTCTCTCCTTCCCTCTCTCCCTCTTTTCCTTCCTCCCTCCCTCCTTCCCTTCCTTTCTCCCTCCCTCCCCTCCCTCCTTTCCTTTCTCCCTCCCTCCCTCTCCCTCCTTTCCTTCCTTCCTCCTCCCCTCCCTCCTCCCCTCCCTCCTTCCTCCCCTCCCTCCCTCCTTTCCTTCCTCCCTCCCTCCTTCCCTCTCTCCCTCCTTTCCTTTCTCTCTTCCGTCCCTCCCCCTCGTCCCTTCTTTCCTCCCTCCTTTCCTTTCTTCCTCCCTCCCCCTCGTCCCTTCTTTCCTTCCCTCCTTTCCTCCCTCCTTTGTAATCTATGGCATTTCAGTATTGACCTATTATCATTAATGGACTTGGCAATTTAAAAAACCCTTATTTTTAAGGGATTGAGATTATTAACTCAATCTCGTGAGGCATCCGTCGCTCAAAGAAAACTCATATGTTCTGCATGGCTATTATATAAATACCTGCATTACTTTTACTATACTCTGTTGAAATAAATACCCCCAAAAAGAATCATGTCACCCAGTTCTGTTCCTATTTGGCTATCACACTCATGTGGGCAGCGAGGGCTACATTTAGTAAGTATCATGCAAACTATCCTTATTCAAGTAGTCCTCAACTTATGACAATTGAACCCCAAATTTATTTTGCTAAGTGAGACATTTGTTGAGTGAATTTTGCCCCATTTTATGACCATTCTTGCCGCAGTGGTTAAGTGTATCACTGTAGTTGTTAAGTTAGTAACATGGTTATTAAGTGAATCTGGCTTCCCCATTGGCTTTGCTTGTCAGAACATCACAAAAGCTGACCCCAGGACACTGCAACCATCATAAGTATGAACTAGTTGCCGAGCATTTAACTTTTGGTCATGTGATCATGGGGATGCTGCAACAGTTGTAAGTATGGAAAATGGTCATGTCACTTTTTTCAGTGCCGTTGTAACTTTGAATAGTTAACAAATCAACTATTGTAAGTTGAGGACTACTTGTATGTATTTGTGCTGGATCTGTGCTCAAATAAGTGAAAATTTCTTCTAGAAGCTATAATCTAATTTTCACAGTTAGAAGGTAGTCCTACTGAACTTAGTTGTAAGTAGAGAAGTCTATAATTGTGATTCAAGGGTCTTTCCTACTGCTGCATTTAAGTGTTAGCCCGTCTCTCTTGAATTGGCAATTTAAGCTTATGTCACTTAAGGGCTAGGAACTAATTTTTATGTCTTTATCTGTCTTGTACTTAGTGCAAGTTTATGTATTAAAATTAGATAGAATATGAAGTCCTTGATTTTATATATATATATATATATATATATATATATATATATATATATATATGTGTCTTTGGTTGTTCGGGTTTTCTCCCGCGTAAAATTGGAAGTGTCTTGGCGACGTTTCGACGAAGTCCCATTCGTCATCTTCAGGCTGGTGTTTTCAGCTTCGTGCTTTGAGCAGCAATGTGTGGTCGTAGCTGTTTCTTCCTTTTAACTGCCAGTGGGGGTATGAACTGATTGGGTGGGAGCTTGGCTGTGTTCTGATTGGGTGGAGGTGTGTTCTGAATGGTTAGGGGCTTGGCTGTGCTCTGATTGTCTGGGGGAGTGTTCTGTTTGGTTGTGCTCAGGTTAGTCTGAGTTGCAGAGAGGTTTAAGATTTTAGGCTGCCTTGCTATTTTTTGGCTTCGCGTTCGTGGTCGTGCCTCCTCTTCATGGGGGGTGTCAGTTTGCTTCATGTATGGATTGGAGGGGTTTAAAGTGGCTAATGATGCAGCTGTGGTCTGGCTTCTGGTTTGTGGTCGTGTCTCGTCATCGGTGTGGCTTTGAGTTTGTTTTTTGCGTGGATGTGTGGTGGTGACATCCTGTGTGGTTTTTGTGAGTGTGGGTCTGGTATCATTTTTTGTGTTAGGGAGTCGTTTGTCAATAAGGGCGGGTTTCCAAATGGCTGGTAGGCGGGAGGTATCATCTCGCTTGTTCATGCTGTGTGGGTGTTTTTCTATCTCGATGGCTTCCCTGATTATTCTGTTATTAAAATGTTCACTTTTGGCAATGGTTCTGGTATTTTTAAAGTCATGTCCTGTGGCTTTAAGGTGTTGGACCAGCGAGATGACCAAGTGAGATGATACCTCCCGCCTACCAGCCATTTGGAAACCCGCCCTTATTGACAAATGACTCCCTAACACAAAAAATGATACCAGACCCACACTCACAAAAACCACACAGGAGGTCACCACCACACATCCACGCAAAAAAACAAACCCAAAGCCACACCGATGACGAGGCACGACCACAAACCAGAAGCCAGACCACAGCTGCATCATTAGCCACTTTAAACCCCTCCAATCCATACATGAAGCAAACTGACACCCCCCATGAAGAGGAGGCATGACCACGAACGCGAAGCCAAAAAATAGCAAGGCAGCCCAAAATCTTAAACCCCTCTGCAACTCAGACTAACCTGAGCACAACCAAACAGAACACTCCCCCAGCCAATCAGAACACAGCCAAGCTCCCACCCAATCAGTTCATACCCCCACTGGCAGTTAAAAGGAAGAAACAGCTAAGACCACACATTGCTGCTCAAAGCACGAAGCTGAAAACACCAGCCTGAAGATGACGAAAGGGACTTCGTCGAAACGTCGCCAAGACACTTCCAATTTTATACGGGAGAAAACCCGAACAACCAAAGACCTACATACAAATACCCGCGAAAACCTTAGAAAACATATATATATATATATATATATATATATATATATATATATATATATATATATATATATATATATATATATATATATTTAAGAACATTGTTGTAATTCCATTCCGTGAACAAAGATAACACTGTGTTGAATGAGTTCGATTTGCCAGAATGATTTAAAGAGACCAAGTAAATTTCATCCTTCGCTGACTATCATTCTACAAGTTTAAGAATATTTATTATATTGACTAGTACAAGGCTCTTGAGTGATTCTTAATTATGTGATAAAATAAAGAAGATATAACATGATACCATTATTACTATATGTGCGTAGCAATTAAGTACATATAGTGAGACATTCAGATTCACTACTGAAGTTATAATAATTGATCATTGTGAGTATGTGTATATTCTCTTTCTTACACACACATAAACACACGTACAGAATGGCCAGATATAGGATTGATTGAAGTATATTTGTATATTTTACTGAATTTCACCCATTCATACCGTGTAACTGTTTCACATGCAATTTCTTAAGAAATCTTAAGAATTAGTTCATTTAACCCCCCAAGTTTCATGTAATTCTGCCTGTCTAATTTCCAAATAATGGAGACATTAATTTGCAGACATATAATGATGGAATCGAACTGGCTTGCCAACAGCAAAAAGAATTTGTAAAGAGTTCTGTGGAATGCAAATGGAATTTAGCAGAAGCCCAGCAAAAACTTGGAAGTTTAGCATTACACAATTCAGAATCCCTGGACCAAGAACATGCCAAAGCACAAACAGAAATGGATGAATTGAGATGGAGGGAAGAAGAGTGGCGGCGGAAGGAGGAAGTATTAAGACAGAAAGAGAGACAGAATTTATGGAATACGGATTTTGTTAGCAAAGAGGTATTTAACAAGGTATAGAATAATCCAGATTGTATAAAAATTTCTGCATTCAGGTTTTCTTTGTGTCTTGAGTTTCTGAAGTAACAACTTCATGTATACCTAAACTCTTCATAGAATTGGGCCATTAAAGTTCATTTCTTCTGAATCCTATAAGTAATTTTTTAGAGCACTACAATTCTAATTGAGGTCTGAAGCAAAAAAAAAAAAAAAACAAGATACATAAGAGGAATGTATAAATTACAGTGGGTAATATGTTTTATTTCTGTTGGCATTAGCAAGTGAAAGTATTTAAATTTAGGCTTGTTTCCACAGTAGGATTCTTTAATATTGCTTTATTGCAATCAACCAGAATGCCTTCCTAGTAGCCACAAGTTATACTGGATCTTTTTTCCAACTCTGCAGAAAAAAAGTGAGAAGAATACATTCTATAGAGGCATTATGGAAAAAATTTGATTCCAAATCAAATTAATTGATTTGAATTTGATATGAATTCTTTGAAACCAAAATTCCACTTTTCTTCACTTCCTGCTTTTATACTATTGTCAGCAGTATTGCACAGTTGGTCTAGATGGAATGAGAAAATGGGGTATTAAGAACAATTAAAAAATGGCACAGTCTTAGAGATTAAGAAGTTTATTTAAAGGGCCATGAAGAAATTATTTGTTTTCAGTACACACTAAATAAGCTAGTGTTGCATTTAAACTAAACATTTAAATACATTCCATAGTTTAAGACATTGGAAATTATGATGTGGAATCAGAGGTTAGTAGAAAAAAAATATATAAAACCCGAGTGAATGAAAGATTCAGTTCAGATTCAGACTGCTGCATAATCATAATTAGAGTAGCTTTACTAATCTAAATAATTTAAATAACTCCTACTTTTAGAGAGCCTAAGTATATTTTAATTAGTATAAATCAAATGGATGTATCTAATACAAAATAACCTTGAAGACTATTTGAGATAATTGAGCAATGATTAATTAATGACTGTCAGATGTAACATTTTAGTACATCGTATATTTTGTTTGCCAGAGTTTCATTAATCAAAAGAAACTGAAAGAAACTGAGGATGATGCATCTAAATCGTTTATGCAGAAACATGAGGAGAAAATTAGACATTTTGGTAAGTTTTTTCCTTATGAATCATTTCATGACCTACATGTACTATAATAATGTATTTCTGTTTTAACAAGCGAAATATTTTGCCTAAAATTCATAGTAGGGTCCTTGACACGCATTGTTTCTGAATAACTGAACTAAAAAAAGTAATAATATGGGATGGGTATCAGTAACAAAACGCCTAATTTGTTCCTGTCCAGCATAAATGGGACTCAGTTATAACCAAGTATTTTTTTCAGTTTTAGGACAACTATTTGTTGCATCTCATTGTTTTTCAGGAATGTTGAGCAGATGGTTTGATAGTCAGAGATTTCTCTCTGATCACCCATACCTTGTCTGTGAAGAAACAGCAAAATATCTTCTTTTATGGTGTTTTCATCTAGAAGCAGAACAGGTATAATTTCAGTGTTTCGATGTTGTAATTGGAACAAAGCTTTTTTTTTCTATTTACCCTAAATTGCATTGAGGTTGTCCATATTGGGAAATTTACTAATTTCAGGGTCATATTTTCTTCTGGACTTAAATATTTTAACTTCCTAATATAGTGCAAAGTTGTATTGTTTCATTTTAGCAATGAGATTTAGATATTCTGCAGAGGCTTATCACATGTTTAAGATGATTTCTTATTTGCTGACTGAATCCTCATAAAATCCATAGTTATACAAAAGTCAAATTCTGAAATCATTTATTTAATAGTAGATATAATGCATCATAACTGTACATGTCTACATAAATAATTAATTTGTGGATGGATAATGCATTTAGTTCTTAAACCTAAATCTCAAAATCATTTACTCTATGTAACATTGCTAGATTGATATTTAACCACAGATTTGTACATTTTGAAAGGTAGTGTTTGGTTTACATTAATAATTGGCCATTATTACAACAATCATCCAAAAGCTTTGAATCACCCCTTTTATTAAGCATCAGCCTTGAACCATTTTTTATTCTGAACTACAAACTAATGACTGCAGTCATAATAACTATTATCTAATGTGTTTTCAGAATCAGACTAATTGAGCTACGTCTGTACAGCAACTCATTTGGAAATACTGACTTACCTATAGTATTACATTTACATATGTGGTTATAGCAGGTCTTTCAGTAAACATACTGTTAGCTAATACTGTATTGACATTTTCAAGTACTGTTTGTAAAACTAAGAATTATTGAAGATGAAAAGCTATAGAAATCCTGTATTTCACATCACACCTCCTTGGCAGTTAACTAATATGTTTTGACTATCAAAGGAAGTTTTCTAGTGCATAGCTTAGTTTTGCTCCAATTAATATGGGCTTCATTGCATTTTGAATTGTGGTACAGGTAGTCCTCAACTGACACCTCTACTTAGTGACTAAACTTATAAAGCTGCTGAAAATAATTACAGTTGGTCCTTACACAACCATTTCAGCATCCCAGCGGTCACATAATCAGAATTTAGATGCTTGATGACCAGTATGTGTTTACAATGGATGCTTTGTCCCAGATTCACAAAATCACCATTTGTGATCTTCTGACAAGCAAAGTCAATAGGTGAAGCTCAAAGGCTTCACTTAATGACCACATTGATTTGTTTAACAACTGTGGTAAAAAAAGATCATAAAATCAGGCATGGCCTACTGAATGACCATTCATTGAATCACAAATGTTCCTCTCCCAATGTAGACCTGTGTTTGGGGACTACTGTACGCTGATTGTTTCTTACAGATAATTTGGATTATCTTTTTATAGAAAGGAGCTCTAATGGAACAAGTAGCTCATCAAGCGGTAGTGATGCAGTTCATCATAGAAATGGCCAAGAGCTGTAATGTGGATCCCCGGGGATGTTTTCGTCTATTTTTCCAAAGAGCTAAGGTGAGGAGGGGAGTTTTCTGTTCAACATAGAGGAGGTGGGGGGGCTATTCTAAAATGTTTTTAGGAACCCACTTCAAAGCCTAGCCAGACTTTCTCCTTGGTTGTTAGATGCTAACATGCCTTATCAAAAGAATAGTTTGGTGATTATTGCTATTACTGTTTTTGTTTTCATTATTTCAGTCAATGGCCACCTATCTTAAAAACAGTAACTCTGGGTGGCTAATAAAATAAAATAAAAATCAATTAAAACCACAATTATATAAATGAGCATAGTGGCAACCAAGGACAGCACTTCCTAGGTTCTATCAGATATCATTTCTTTATAGATGAAATCCAAATCATGCCTCTTCTGTTGGACATATTTTTGTCCATCTTCCTTCCATTAAAAACTGTTCTCACCAAATCATGGATATTGTTATCTCATAGGGTTTTGTTGTATTGCTTGGTTTCTCTTAAGTGTGGTAACACTCTTCAACAAATACCTGTTGAGAGTAAGCTGTTTTAAAGGGCATTATAATGTAGATTCATTAATAAGAATGATGGATTCTACATAATAACACACAAGTAAATTTATATATATAAATGGACTTTAAATTCTCCTTGTCTCTTTTCACTTCCTCAAGCACAATCCAAATCTATTCTAAAGATTCTTCGTCTTCTGATATAGGGGCCCATTTTTATACTGTTTTATGTTTAACAGATTAAGTATATATAGGATTATTTCCTAAATTATGTACAAAAATATGCTATTTTCATATAATATGAATCACACAGTGACAAAAAGTGTCATGAGTGTCCATCCATCCTGTTAAAAAGATCATAAGGAGAGGGGAGAAAATTTGCTTTGTGTGCAGGCGTTTTACTCTTTATGGATGGTCAAATTGGATGTATTCCCCACTAAGAATATTCCTTGGAGACATAACTTTAACATGGCTGTATAAACCTCTGTAACAGGTCTTCTGACACTTCAGGAAGTTTAAAATTTAATTATTAGCACTTATTCAAATTAGCAGTAATTTTATAATTGTAGATTAGCGCATTTTTATTTCAGTGCATGTGACTAAAATGCCAGAAGACTTTTGATAGCTCTAGGGTATATTCTGCCATTCTGAGTATACACTTTTAGTTTAGTCTGTTTTTGGGCTGAGCATAACATAGGAAACTGATATTTAAAAATAGTTATCTGCTGATAGCCTTGCACATGGAGGATTATGAAAAGAAATTTGTTTTATTTTATCATATTTACACAGCTGCCCATCTCACAGAAAAGTGACTCTAAAAGGTAACTCTAAAAGGTAGCGCCTAATAAAAATCAGTTGTAAAATCAAAATATTAAATATATTTAAAAAGCCATAAAGCAACATTATTAATAAGATATTAAAGAAAAGGTGATGTTAAAAACAATGCACCCATTTCAATAGCTGACCATTTCTCTGAGATCCACAAGCCTGCTGACACAGTTATTTTTTTGTGGGACTTCCGGTAAGATATCAAGGATGGGGCCAATCTCACGTGTGGGGAAGAGGATAATGCTCCACAGGGAAGGTGCTGTGGCAGAAAAGTCCTGGGTCCCACTAGATCAGGGTTGTCAAACTGCCAGCCCACGGGCCGGTTGCATCATACGGAGGCCGTGCTCACCCCAGCTCCGACAAGGCAAAAAAAGTCGTGATACATCACAACACGTCATGTGACGTGGTGAGTTTGGCACCCGTGCAGTAGATGAAACTGTTTTGCAAGGCAGGACTCACAGTATACCTTTTCTGCCAGACCTGATGGGACAAGCAAATGTGATCAGGTGGAGGTGGTCCCTCAGCCCTGTCCCAAGCCATGAAGGGCTTAATAAGTCAAAACCAGCACCTCGAATTGGATCCATGTGGTAGCGTATGCAGCTTGTGGAGCTCAGGTGTAATGTGTGTCATGCCACTGCATTTTGCAGGTAGCTCCTTAAGGGGCAGAGGAATAACAGGATAACAAGAGTTGGAAGGAACCTTGGAGGTCTTCTAGTCCAACCCCCTGCTGAAGCAGAAAACCCTTATATCATTTCAGACAAGTGGTTGTATTTCAGACAAATGGTTGTGTACAAGGAAGAACCCCCTTGAAAAGTTCTCCTCACTAGAACCTATCCACGTCACATCTTTCTGGTAGCTTTAGTTAGCCAAGAGAACATGGCTCTGAAGAGTAGTTGGGCAAGCTCACTGTCATAAGGACTGTATCTACTTCCTTGGGTCCAACATTTCAAACCCTTCCCGGATAATAGAGCATTTTAATTCCAAGGTCTTTTAATTCTAGGTCTTGCTATAACTATCGGTAAAACATCACAAAAATCCATATAATAAAACCCATACAGTTTTCTTGCAATATACAATATACACATTAAAAAGAAGAGTTAAAAGAAAAATATTGAGAGAGGTTAATTCTATCTATTATAGCTAAGCACAGTCCATAGTTTGCAAGTCTAATGGTATATCCTAAGATTGAGAAAGAAAGGACTCATTGTATAGATGGTGATTTTTTTCGTGTGGCAATTTATTCCGTTTACATCCTCCAGAATTGCTAAGTTGTTGAAAATTATGAGCACTGTAGTATAATTGATATGGAGGGGAAGAAGAATGCTCCTGTTATAAACTACATTGTCTGAATAACTTTCATAACGATTTGAACATCTGTCACTGTGATTATCCTCCATTATGATTAGCCAAAGTAAAAAAACACAGACAGAACAAAAACAAAAGTAGAAAAATGTGAAAATCTACGCTTATCTGAATGATATAGATTCCATGGTTAGACTCCAGTCTGCTTGGCTGCAGTGTCTTATTTTTTAGCACAAAATATTGAAAGTTAAATTGTAGGGTTATTGAATTACTTTTGTGTTTGTTTGACAGACAGGGGATGAAGGCTATTTGGAAGCTTTTAAAAATGAACTGGAAGCATTCAAATCAAGAGTGAGGATTTGTTCACGATCTCAGAATTGTCAACCTATGCCTGTTCAGAATCCTTTATTTCACAATGATCTGAATTGTATAGGTGGACTTGCACCTCAGGTAACTTTTGTTTAATTATTTTTACTATTGGCGTGTCAAGAAAAAAAATCTTTACTTCCCATCTTCTTCGTATTACTTCCCTATATTCCTTCTCATAGACCATGGTAGAAAACTAAGACTTGTTTGAATGTTAAGTAATTAATATATATCATTTCACCAAGTAGTTTGAATGAAAAGAACAAACGCTAATGTTTACATTTATTTATTTATTTATTTATTTCAAAATCATCCTGCCTTGGCGTCCACTATGTTTCTATCTCTGGTCTCCCTGTTGCAGTATTTTCCACTATTTTTGGGCTACTACAAAGTTACTTACTATAGCAAGAAGCCAACCATTCTAACTGTTACAGTGAACTGGGCATTTTTGTCCGGTTAGTTCCGTTCATTGGATGATTCATTTAAGCTATAGCTCTCCAGCTGCTTTCTTCACTAGTGTGTGTGTTTCATCAGCTAACGTCCCTGATTATTGAACATGATTATTTCCAGAACAGCTTGTGGAGGTATTCCTCACATAATGTATGTCTAGTGCGTGCCATTGTAATCTCTGCTCTGACTCTCTGCATTCCCAGACAGAGTTTCTTGGGGTGTCATATCAGTTCCTGTTACATAATCAGTTCCTGTGCTAAAATAATTGTTTTATTTTTTAAAAAGAGCAGTTACTTGCTTAGCAGTAATACATGAAGGAAATTCACACTTGATTCACAAAGTCACGGAAGCACTTTGTGGGACGAGGCCCAACTTTTGAATAAAAAATCTGAGATTTTTTTATTTATTCCTCCTTTTCCAGTTTGTTTTTGCAAAAGACTGTAATACTGAACACATCGGTAGAACCCTTCAGAAGCTTAAAATGTTACTTTCATTCATTGCCTGCTGGTTTTTGGTGGGAAATCACAGGGAGGAATTTGGGTAGCATAATCTTGGTCTGTGTGTGTGTTCCATTGCTTGTGGAAATTAGCTTATCTACCTTTAGCCCAGTTGAGTTTAAGATGTGATGACAATGAATCTTGAGTGAAGTGTCCACGTGTTCCACCCATGGTGTAAAAAAAAATACAAAGCTGCAGCAACACAAAGCAAAGATTAAAATTAAATGTTTTTCAGAAATTGTTTTCTGACATGTCTATGCTCTTTATTGCAGAATGCAGAATCGCTTCAAGGCTGCAGTTTGCAGGGTTTAGTGGTACACAGAGAGGAAGAAGAACCTAAAATGATGGATACAGTATAGTACTCTTAAGACTGACGCCAAGTACACTTCTTTCCAAGAGAAGAAGACGGCAATTTTCTTTAGACTTCTTTTTATGGGTACTGCACTTTATTTTGATGGAGTGGGAGGGAATTGTTTTGTTTTGAGCTTTTGGAGAGAGAGTAAGGCAGAAACATGCATCATTTTCTTTGGGGGGAAAAAGTGTGCTGCTATCTTTCTTCCTATGTTTCTTACTTTTAAGAAAGGGATGTTCTTGTAATTTGCCGAATGTGAAACTACGTTTTCTGCTACTGCTAAAAAATCTTGCCTTTTAATTTTAGAAATCAAAGTATGAGAAATCTGCACAATTGCAATGTTTACAATTGATTCCTTCAGGAATCCGCTTTAATCTTATTAGACACTACCCAAGAGTTGCTGTGGATACTAAAGATCATTGTAATGTGTTCTGTTGCTTGCATACTAGGCATTCAAATCTGATTTTATCACAGATAGCAATAAATCTATGATTGCTATCAGTGTTGCGCCTCTGGATGGCTCCCACAAAAGCACTAGCCATTTATACTACTGTTTTTTACTGTTTCTGTATTTTATTTTGATTCATACATATTTTGATGTGTAAGCAGCCATAATGGAGTTATAACCAGTATTTCTGCAGATAGATCCACATATGTTACAGAAAGTTTAACTTTTCTTAAATGAGAACAATATGATAAACATCAGCCATTGCTGAGTGTTTCATCAGGTGCCAAATGCTGATTAATTTTTTTTTCTCAGATCTTACAAACATGAGCTTACAATCTTTTATTTGGTAAATGCCTCAAAAGAAATAAACAGGCACTATTTTAAAACCAAAACAACCCAAATAGCCATGAAATTACTTTGGTGTAGACTTGGTTCTGAAATGTTATCATTGTCAATCAGATTCGGTAAACCTTTTGTTATAAATTGTTTACAAACTCCAAAATACTGAAAAACATTTTTCTAGTATCCTGTCCATCTGCTTCTGCATTCATCACCTTTGATGTATGTTAAAATACAACTGTTGTAAATGCTGTCAGTACATAATTGCATTCAATGAGTCTTGAAACACCACAGCTCTAGAGTAAGGAAGGTTTGTAGATTCTATCCAGAAGCATACTTGCCTATGACAAAGTCCCTAAGAAGCAATATTGACATGCAAGATAAGAGTGACAAGCTTTGTTGCTTTCTTTACCCTCCTAAAATCCCCTCCTTTAAGCAGAACATTGACAGTGGGAGCTACTGAGGTAAAAATAACTGAGTCTCAACTCATTCACACAATCTTCCCAGAACTGACAAAGTTCCTTTTGGGTCATTTTTTTTTTTTTTTTTTTTTTTGGTATCGAATGGAATTTCATGCTAGTTTTCTGACTAAAGCAAAGCATAATCTTTCTAGGTCTCACTTAGTACTATGACTTGGGGTTTGATTCCTTCTTTAAATGCCATAAGTGTAGAGGCTGATCTATCATTCTGGATATTCCCCAGAATAGCTTCAAATAGTGAGGTGTTCATAAGAGTAAATCATGATTAGTTATTTCACATTTCTGAAAATTAATCCAGAAAGGGAGGTCAAAATGAGACACTGTTTTTAAAACTAATATTCAGTGATTGATTGAGAAGATATTTTTATGCATTAGCAATTCCCTGGAACCATGGATATTTTTTTTTAAGTGTAGCAAGGGAATAGCTATGCTAGAATTGGCTAACTAGCAACCAGTGATGTGTTACTTGGGTCTTGGTTATTATTTTAATTATGATGAAGTCTGAACTTAACAAATTGGTTCAGATGACAAGATCAGATAGGCCTTGATGATACTAATTGTATAGCATAGAGAATCTTATTTGCAAGAAACTAATTCTGAAAATCCCATTTAAGACCTCAATTTATGCAGAAAATACATATTGCAATTTAATCAGATCTTTTGGGGTTGAGACAATAATGTGTGATTCTGATTTGTAACTGAATGAGAAATGATGGTTAATTATACTCACAAAATAACAGAATGGAGGAAATAAGTCTCAGAATTGTATGGAAGCATCATTTCTTTTGAGTTCAGCCAGTGTTTTTAAATGCTTACATTGTAACATTGTAATGCATGGTCATGTCTTCAGCTCTGTGAGGATAGAAAAATACGGTTAGGAGTAAAAACTGGATTTCTTTTCAGTTAGGTCTGCTCTTCGGAATATTAATCTGTAGGCAAAGTGATTTGGAGCAAGCAGGAAAAAAGCCCCTAGTGCAGTGTTTCTCAACCTTGACCATTTTAAGGCATATGGACTTCAACTCCCAGAATTCTACAGCCAGCAATTCTGGGACTTGAAGTCCACATGCCTTAAAATGGTCAAGGTTGAGGAACACTGCCCTAGTGATTTAAGCAAAAAAAACAACAGAACTATCACTCTTTAAACTCAAATAGAACAAAATTAGGGATGGTGAAACAAAACTAATCAGTATCTCTTTCCAAAAATAAACCACACTTCAGTGGAGCATGAAAGTGGTGGGGTTCTGTGTGAATTCCCCCTTAAATAATCTTAACGCAAATATAGAGTGTTTCAAGATTTGCAAAAGCAGCCTCCTGAAATTTCCAATGGAATTATAATTTAGATGCAAGTGGGCTGATAAGAGTTACATATTTTTTTTTTTAAAAAAAATACAGTTTTAATAAAAGCAATAGAAAAGACTTCTCCATCTGGTTCCTTCTGGATAGGCTGAGTTGCATTATTTAGAATTTCAGATCAGCAGCTTCCAGACCAACCCAAGCACAGTAAATCAGCAACAAGTTTGTGAAATGGCTTTAGCTACCTGTATTGCTATTGCGGCTTTAACCTAACGCTGCAGAATCAGTGGCAAATATGAGATCAGATTTGATAAGAACAAGGTAGCAACAAGAATAATAAAGTCAGTAGAACTCTTGTTGCATGAAATGTTGAGTGTACGTGAGAAAGCACTATTCGACTTCATCTAGCTCAGGGGTTCTCAACCTTGGCAACTTTAAGACTTAAAGTTGTCAAGGTTGAGAACCCCTGAGCTAGCTAATGTTCTGTTATATTAGAAAGAATGTTCTGAACTCAGATTATTTCTAAGATGGTAATTGAGCTGGAAATAAATTCTTAAAGCAAGAGAGTAATCTGGCAGAAGTTGGCTTCGTTTCATGTAAACATTCAGACCAGCCATCCACTGAGTATAGCCGTGCTGTCTAGTCTGGCCTTGTACTTATTTTTCGAGCCATCTGATTAAGACAAGGAGTGTAGACATTTCAGTTTTTGAAGACAAAAAAATAAGTACAAAACCTGGACACTAAAAAGGTGTTAGCTGGCTTGCAAAATGGGTTGGGAAATAAATCACCTCTGGATTGTTCTGGGCATAACTAAAGGAAGAATTAAATGGATATAAGTTAAGAATTGTGTTTTATCTGACAACCTCATTTTGCCTGTGATTTTTTTTCCCATGCATTTTTTTTTCTGGGTCTGTATTCACCTCCTCCTCCTAACACTTTTTTTTTTCACAATCATATTTGTTTTGTTGTTGATCATTTCATTAGTATGTTTTTAACAGCTGTTGTATAATCCAAAGATTCTGAAACTAAAGCTTATGAGCAATTTTGTTCTGTTTTGAGACAGATGAAGTCAGGCCTGTATTCTGAATTGAGCCTTCCGTTCGACTGGCATTTAGAGTAATAGAGGCTGTTTTACGCAAGGCTTTTTACCTATGTGAAATGGGATTTTGACTTTTTGTGGTTTTCAAAGTTAAACACAGAAAGAGGATGAGCAGTGACATTGATCGAAGCAAAAACTAACCAATATTATACTGGCATTATAGTCCTTTGCTTATTAAAAAGGTGTATTCATTAAAGGCAAGATTATATTTGTTAAAATACGAGTTATGTTTGTGTTTTTGATTTGTAGAATAAACCATTTTCAGTTATCCATAGCCACCCTGTATATTTCAAGCACTTGGATGAGGGGAAAAGTGAGAACTGCTGGCTTACCTGCATTGTAGCCAATTTGCCTTGTAACTTCACTAGGTTGTTCTAAAGCAGTGACTCCAAATCTTGGAAACTACCAAGTGTGCAGACCAACTTGTATGATTACCCAGCCAGCCGCTGGCCCTTGCTGAGAATTCTGGGAGATGAAGTCCATACATCTGGCCCTCCCCACTGCTGCAGAGCACTTTTCTAAAGCCTTAAGAAGAGGGCAACGTGGCAAATTTTGCTTCATGGTCTGAAATATATTGTAAACAAAGATTGCCCCATACAAAGTTTGGAATGAAAATATAAGCTACTATTAATAAAATAACTGTACTTTTGCTGTAGCATGTTTGATTTAATCATGACTTGAGATTTTATCCAGAATCATGATTCTAATAAAGCAGGGGTGTCAAACTGCCGGCCCACGGGCCAGATGCATCATGCCAAAACCGCACCCACCCCAGCTCCGGCAATGGGGAAAAAGTCGCGACACGTCATGTGACGTTTTGCAAATTTGACACCCCTATAATAAAGGAAGCACATTTCTGTTCAGGAATTTGGGGTGTAGAACCATCTCATGAAAGGGCAGTTGGCATGGGAATGCATTGCTTCCTCTTTCACCTTAACTGCTTATAAGCCAGTTGGGGCTGGCCCATGTTGTTTGATCTTGTAACTTATCTTAAACCTTGGTGACCTTTCTCAACTGCTAAAGACTTCTACTTTTGATCTTACTATTTGTAGTTAAATGAAAACCAGATGATCTACAGACGTGTCTGTTACACTGGTAGGCAATGTACCTAACACTTTCTGGGTAATTGAGGACCAAAGGGATGGCTGATTGTTGGAGGGAAGGAGAATCCAGTAAGTCCCAAAATCACTGGAATTTTCTGGATATTTTTTTCCTTTGAATTTTTAAAAGTTGGATGATTTTCTTTAAATCAGGTCAAACATATTCTACGTTAATGCTCCATGTTGTACATTAATTCATGTTTCCTATCTGCAATGTTCATAAAACTGCAACCAGTTTTCAGAAAGAGTGGTAAAAGATGGCTTGAAGGATTACACTTGGCTCTTCAGTTGCCCAATCCTGGCCTGGTGGCTGCCTTCCAATGCAGGAAAATATTGCCATGAACTTGTCCTTTCAGAAATATGGGACAAGCAACTTAGAAATGGTGAAGAAAAATGATGGAGGAAGGAAAGAAATTAGTATTCTGACTATCTTCCCTGTTGTCCTCACTTCCATCTAACTCCCTTACCAGGCTCTGTAGTTTTCCATATGCCCTTACCTCTCTCCTCACCCCATCCCCAAGCCCCATTTCTTCCTAGTTTTTCAATACTGTCCTCTTCTTGCATTCGCATCTTTCTTGGATCAGTGAACAAATGGATGTAAGGCACCCTTTGCAAAAGACCGAGACATAACTGATAATGGCTTAGAAATTCTTTTTCTGTGTGGTAATTCTGACATAGCTGAAGCTCTGTGTATCACATCAGCCAACTCAATTTTTTCAAGCCCGATGTGTTTGCTAAAACAAAGGACAAGAAGTTCAACTTTGTCTTGTATCCCAAAGCACAATGGAAATGCAAGTTGCAAATATTTAGAAGTATTTCCTCTAGTTTGAGGAAAATAGGCCTAATGGAGTCTAACTTTGGATCATTTTAAAGAGTATCAAATTGGGGGTGGGGGACTTTTCTGTAGATTTTTTTTAAAATTACCCATTGGTTACAAATCTGGATTCAGATTGCAGATTCAAGTATAAGAGTGTTGATTCTCTTCCTTCCTCTGGAACTAGTTCTAAGTGAGGAGTCCCTAGTCCCATGCTGTGCATTGTTCCAGGTTTATATGTCTCCACTCCCGTTCAGCATCTGCATGAATCCATTGGTGAGGTCATCCCAAGCATAGGTGAGGTATCAGTATAATATGCTGATGATAGACAGTTCAACCATCCCTGCCTGCCCAAATGAGTTCAATTTTTGTCTCAAAATTGTGAGGTTTGAATGGGAAACAACAGCTTAACTTCAACCATAACAAGACTGAATTGTTATGACTATTAGGGCTTTCTAGTTTTAGGGATTTGCTCTGGGTGGGGTTGCGCTACCCCAAACAAAATCTGTGCCAATCCTCCCTGGACTCATGGTTTCTCTTTGAGGAACTGGTAGTAGCTATGGCTAAGAACTCCTTTGTGCAACTTTTTGTTTGTGCCAGTTTTGCCTGTTCCTGGATTTGGAGGCTCTGCTCATGATCACTCTTGCCTTGGTCATCTTTTGAACACATAATGTACTTTATGCCTTGATCCCAAATCTATAGGGGATACAGAATGCAATGATGTGTTGTCAGCCCTTCAAAGTAGACCAGGCTAGGAAACCAGTTAGGAATGCTAATACTATTTGTATTGTAAGGTTATAGTAACAGAATTTTGCAAGCTTGAATATACCTCCCTTCTCCCTTCCTTTAACTTCATGAGAACTAGGGAGGGTCATGTCAAAGACAGTTTCACAAATTACATTTCTGCTAAGGATTCAAGGTTTCTTTCATCTGACCAATATCTTAGTTGCAGCCCTTCCTCCTGTTCCTCAAGGTTATTCCTTCTGCCCATTACAAGCAGACAATTATATGCTCTCCTCTATCAGCCCATTACACCTCTGCTCCACAAGCTAGTATGTTTCTGGGTTCAATTCATTACCTCCAGCAAAAGAGATAAACTCCAGGGCCTATTTCAAAATGTCTTTTGGCAGGACCAAGAAGGCAACCTTTGCTGCCATGGTACCCCCTTTTAAATATCATCCCCCTGACCCTTTCATAAGGCCTTCAAGTCATGGGGTTTTTTCATTTGAAGATCTGGAGGCGTAGCAGAGCCCATGCAATGGTCACCTTCATTTGTTGCTGCTGATTATTTTTGTGTTTTTATAGTTGTGTATTATAATGTTTTAACTGTTATTAGTTGAATAGAATTCTTTGCCTTCCTTTTTTTCCAAGCTAATGGGATGCTATCCTATAAGATTAGGAAGCTAAGCGTTTGTGATACAGCAAATATTATAGTACATTTGAGGAAGCAAAATGGATGCTGTAATCTTAAATTACTAATGCTGTCCTGAAACTGTAGAAAAAGAGGCACCTTCCTACACTACTACTGCTTTCAACATAAAAAAAAAGCCTCATTGATTTAATGATAAATTCTAAATGCCTAGGTAGGAAAAAACATGTCCACCCTTGATATAAACACCAAGATGGTAGGAAGTTCACTTTCAGGACTGCTAGCCACAAGATCCGTCAGCTGTTAGTAACTCAAAAGCATTGGAACATTGTGGTAAATATTGACAAAAGTAGTCTAGAAGCTTGAAACAAAATGTTCTACACGGATTTTTCAGTCTGAATTCTTAATACAGATGTTTTAGGGAAGTTTCCAAAATAGTAAACGGATATATTTAAGATTGCTGTTCTTTTATAGAAGCCTCATGCCCCATAGAGTACAAAACAGACTACCTCATTCTTTTTATTATGATCTTACCTACATCCTGTTTAAAGGGTCTTGTGTAAATTTTCAAAATGGGATTGATACTTCAAATTATTATCCTTATCAAACTCCATGGATACTTTAATTAAATGTTGCTAAAAATCAGTTTATTATTAAATACATTTTACAAAATCCAGATATACCCAGTACAAAAATTAGCAATCGATCATCCTATTAGATTTTGGCATAGAATTAAAACATGCTCATTTTAGAGATTTCAGACAGCTATATATCAGGGTGGCTCATAATTCCATCACTAAAATCCCAGTCCGTTCCTAAATTTTTATGATTCTAAAGGTTGCTAGAAACTGGATATTTAGCCATATATTAGTAGTTTCCGTATATTAATAAAACGAATCATGTTCAACCCGTCTGGTTCACTTCAGGCAGCTTCGTTTGGAGGAAACGATAAACATGAGGCCAGATTTTGTTGGTCTCTGTTCCAGAAAAAGATTCCAGAACTCCTTTTTGGCTAGAGAGAAGACAAGAGTACATTAGTTATTTTTGCACATTAGCAGTTTTTCTCTCAATTCTTAGATTCTGAGATTCTAGTATAGGAGATTAATTGGACCAAAAAAAAAAAAATTAAGATTCTATGTTCTACAGGTTGGCATACTAAAAGTTTGCATACTATGTTCTAAAGATTTGCATACTATTCCATGTATGCAAACTTTTATAAAATGCATACAGATAGTCCTCGACTTATGACAGCTGAGCCCAAAATTTCTGTTGCTAAGTGAGACATTTGTTAAGCGAGTTCTGCCCCATTTGACACCCTTTCTTGCCACAGTTGTTAAGTGAATCACTATAGTTAATCAGAATAGAGCTGGAAGGGAGCTTGGAGATCTTCTAGTCCAGCCACCTGCTCAAGCAGGAGACCCTACACCATTAATAATAATAATAATAAAAAAGTTGGAAGGGACTTTGGACGTCATCTAGTCCAACCCCCTGCTCAGGCAAGAAACCCTATACCATTTCGGACAAATGGCTGTCCAGTCTCTTCTTAAAAACTTCCAATGTTGGAGCATTCACCGCTTCTGGAGGCAGGTTGTTCCACTGGTTAATTGTTCTAATTGTCAGGAAGTTTCTCCTTAGTTCCAGATTGCTTCTCTCCTTGATTAGTTTCCATCTGTTGCTTCTTGTCCTGCCTTCAGGCGCCTTGGAAAATAGCTTGACTCCTCCCTCTTCTTTGTGGCAGCCCCTGAGATATTGGAACACTGCTATCATGTCCCCCCTCGTCCTTCTCTTCATTAAACTAGACATACTCAATTCCAGCAGCCGTTCCTTATATGCTTTACCCTCCAGTCCCCTAATCATCTTTGTTGCTCTTCTCTGTTTTCCTTCTAGAGTCTCAACATCTTTTTTACATCGCGGTGACCAAAACTGGATGCAGTATTCCAAGTGTGGCCTTACCAAGGCATTGTAAAGTGGTATTAACACTTCGC